GAATTGGCATGTATTTTTTTTTACGTTTGTGGATGCAGGGTACTTCTGTGTAAATCAGATTTAATTGCATGTATGCTTAGATTTCAGACGGGTTGTGAAACATATAGCATTTTAAAGTGATCCTTTGGGAGAAAGTTTGGAACCACTGAATTAGAGTATCATTCTGACCGTATAGAGATAACGATATTAGCAATCCAACTAGAGCAGCCCCAGTGAAACAAGATATTGAGTACATAATATAATTGAGATTGAAACTACCTAATTAGATTTGTGTATTTATCTGCTTTAATAATCATGTTTACTACATCCTTTAATTATGCTTTCCAAAGCTCAGGGGCTATATAAAAACAGCAAACCAGTATCCCTTACAGACCCCTGTGTTCCAAAACAACTTTCCTCTCCTGGCGGATATGAAATTCACATTTAAGGAAAGAGGAGATAAAGTTGAGACAAAAATATGTCCCTGAACTCATAGTAAACTTTCTGTTTTCAGGGCCAGCTGCTCTGTGCTAGGAAGAGCCGCCAACACGGAGATCTACAGATCCATCAACAACCATAATAAAGTGAGTCAACAGAGTCAGTCATATTAAGTTTCTTTTCTTATTACCACACATAATGTAATTTTCTATGATTAGAATTGGGCCTTTTTTGTAAATGCAATCGCTTAAACCTTTGCTCGGCTGCATTTGTCTCAATCACTTCTCTGTTTTGTAACTGATGATGTGGTTACACCCTCTCCATCCCTCTGAATTGTAGTGCTATGAGGTTCCTGGTATGAAGATCCTGACTTACAATGGGCCTATCTACTATGGCAACCGTAGCTTTTTCAAGGCCGATATGGCTCAGCTTCTGGGCCTCACGCCTGAGAGGATACGCAGCCGAGAGAAAGCCCTGAAGGCCAAAGCGAAGAGAGAGAGAGAGGCCATTAGCTCTGTAGTAAGATGACCAATCTTTCAATTTTTGCTTTTTGTATTATTTGCTCTCTTAAGCCTGAAAATATCTACTAGCATTTTATTGAAAATAATTTATTACATTCAAAAATGAATGTTCTGAATGTTCATTAGCCATGTTCAGAGCTGTTGTAAAAGCACACATGCACATTCTGTTAATTGTTAATGCGCCAAGTCACCATGTGTCATATTATATTAGTTATATAATTAGAATACTGAACTAAATTACTTGGTGGAAAAACTGTTTATTAAAGGTACACTTTGTAACTTTTTTTGTTCAAAATGAACTAAATTTAACCAAAGAGTAAATACATTATCAATCCTTCTTCCAAAAGGTTTTTGTCTTACCCTGATTCGCTAAGGTAAGCCTATTATAAGTGTTTATATTTTAGACCTGACGGGATGGTTTTCACTGGAAATTACGTACATATTCCACCCGCCTGTGAGTGTTTCTTCATTCTTTGAGACATATATGGTGACGGAGTATCATAGGTTAGTTGTCACTACGAGTGAGAAAGGTAGACATGGAACAACCAAATCTCGAAAATCCCTTTTTAAAAAAAGTCGAATAGAGGAGAGTCTGCCGACATTAAGAGAACGCGACAGAGCTCTTAATAAAACATTGGGTTGGCTTTTTTGAGATGCGAGAATGCAAGAAATGTTGTAAAAGAGAATCAGGGATGGGATTTTTATTACGCAACAGGTGAATGAGCAATTTTATTGAACAGATAAATTGCCATATATTGCTCTTGAACAGTTAGTTGTCATACATATCCGCAGTCACACAGAGCCGAAACACACCCAAAACAATGTTCTTCCACAGTTTAATGCTAGAGGGACCAAAAGTTACATAGTGTACCTTTTATATAATATTAAATATTATTATTGATTTTTTTATTGAATATTGGTGTATCATACTGTAGCTGCGGTTTAATACCTGCATTCAACTTCTTTTAAAATCACTGTAAAGCAAAGCGTTTATTACCTATGACAGTAATCAGTAATGTGTTATTATTTGGATGTGACATTTTGGAGATTTTCTTCTTACAACAACAAAATAACAGAAAACACTTGATACAATGAAACGTTTGGATGACTTCTTTTTTTCAAGGAACAAGGAGTTGCAGACAGTTCTTCAAAGAATGACTTGTTCAGATCAGGTCCGACTCCCATTTTTATTTGGCAGCATCAAAAATCACATTAGAGAGTCTATTATTTTAGACGAATCACACTTGTGGCTTTTTCTCAATTGTTTAATGCAGAGATGGCTGAGGGTGAAGTCCAGGCCGTGTTGATAGACTGCAGCAGTGTCATTTTTGTGGATGTTGCGGGAGCTCGCTTATTCATACAGGTGAGCCGGGCCGTATAGGTTTTGTTTTGACCAGTCGAATCGTGTCATGTGCTCACGGTACTTATATCCTGTCACAGATGTGCATGGAGTGCCAGAAGATTGGGATAACGATATACCTGGCTAACTGCAATGGTGAGTTTCCAGGTATATACTTGGACAACCCTTACAAACTGCTTCCTGAGTGTAATATTTTCTCTCCTCTGTAGAGAGTGTACTGAAGATTCTCACATCCAGTGGGCTCATGAAATACATGAATCCTCAGCATATCTTTGTTACAATCCATGATGCTGTGGTCTACATACAACAGCAGCGGGTATGATGCAGAGGCTTCTTCATATACGTCATTTCTTCAACAACAAAACAGCATATTTTGAGTGTTGTGGCACCACTGCATTTGCATTAACATTTGATCATTTTGTTCGACAGGAGAAACCTCCTGAGAACAACACAACAGTGTGGGTATGATTTATCTGACACTACCAAAGTATTGCAACATTTATGCTTACTGAGACTCAGAACTGGACCTGAAGAACCGTGGGTGACTACAAGTGTGTCGAGGAAAGAGTCATTCCAGCATTTATTTGGACTCAACGTGCTGTGATTTAGACAGGGCCCTCAATGGTGTCTAAGTAAGAGTACGTAAGTTACCTGCTGTGGCTGTTGTGTTCATTACATGCTAAAAGCCTGTTCACAGTGAAGACAATTGTGAAAATTTGTTGCGATAAACGTTTGAATTCTAATGAACTACTGGTAATGTCTGTTTAGAACAAAACAAAGATTTGCATGCCGTCTATTTTTTACGGAGAGGTGATCTTTCTTTTTCATCTTGCACAGTTATGAAAACTAGCCAACCAATAAGATGTATGTTTTTAGTCACATGGTCAGAACAGATGCTGTTACATAAAACTAAGACTTGGTGGCGCTCACGAACTGACTATTTTGCTGAGCAACAGTGGGTAACAGTGGAAGAACAGTCTGGAGAGTACTCTTATTGTACATGTTGCTTGATGTCTGAATGTGATTGAAGAGATTTAACTTCCTCCTTCGTGACTAGCAGGTGTCACGACATGGACAGACAGTTAAGCAGTGCTTTGTTTATGGCGTGTTGCTGGGGTATGTCTCGTTTTATATATAAATATATATATACATAGAGAGAGAGAGAGAGGTGCTCCCACCACATTTTGGAGTTCCAATTCTCATTTGGGGTTTTTATGCATTGGTTTTAACAGGTCCCAAAATCGTACACATTTGTATTGGTGTGAATCAGCCTTAACAAGCATTAATTGATTAATTGATTAACAGCAATGTTAACAATATTGCCCTACAAACTCCATGTGTAGGCAAAAAGAGAGATAAATTATGGTTATTTTATCAATTATGTATGTCTAAATATTTTCTATTGATCAGAAGTGGCTGAATTGGTATTTTAATAATAATGAAGGCCTACTTTCAGATTTTACATTGTTGCCATCTTTTACTTTTAGAGAATATATAGGCCTAAATGTTGTAATAAAATCTCTGCTTAAAATCCCTGTAAGGGATTTGTGACAGTATTTTATATATATATATATATATATATATGATCATTATGTTGTCATGTTTAAAAATTAACAAGAGACCAAACCAAGAAATAATTGTCTTTAATTTTTGCATAAAATTGTTTTCCTATATTGGACAAATTTGTTTCTTTTCAAGATTATTTTAAAGGGGAAACTTTATATGAATTTAAAAAAAAAGGTTTATAATAAATATTAACAACTAAAAAAAATAGATTCAAATTCATTTTAATATACCCTGTTCTACTCAGTTCTACAGAATTCTCTCTTAAACCAGGTTTGGATCAAAGTTTGGCCATATTGTATGTGCTCTTTACATTTAATAATGACTGTTGTAAAAGTTATCAATTTAAAGTTAAATATTGCCAGTGAACTACTACTGACTAGCCTACCTAATTATAACCTGTTACCTTGACCTCATAAAAAATACAGTTCATACGCAGACTTAAATTCTCAAATAATTTCTGTTTATTGTTTGATGTCTGCATTTTTCCTGGCATATTTCAAGACCACTCTCAGGAGATCACCAGTTTTCTCTTTAAAGCTCAAGAAATGCTACACTAATTGGCTGGATGGAAAGCAGCCCACATTACTGTTGCACAAGACTGCCCAGTTGCCACTGTTGGCATCTTTCAGCCACATTATGTTGGTGTTATACAAAAGACTTCAAATAATAATTATATTTAATGATAATGTGATTCGCTGTTGTTTTTTTCTTTGCTTTATGAAGAATTTCAGGGACAAAACCAAGGCTTTAAAAATGTGAGGGATATTGTGACAGTACATTTTAATGATCAGACATACTGAATAAAATAGGCTACTCAACAATGTATTTTCAATTAGCCTATAGATGTGGCTCTACAGAGGTTGTCACAAAAGGGCTTTTGTTCCCTGGCCCATATTGGTGAAAATGTTCAGCTTTTCTGTGTTGGTAAAAAAAATCTATTAAAAATAATAAACCTACAAGAGAAATACCAAAAACGGGTACTAGATAAACTATATGCAAGCTCTATCGTTTCCTTTTAAATTAACGGAAGTCCTGATTATTGCCGCCATCTTGTGGCTTGAAAAGGAAATTACCACTTCGAAATACACACACACAAAAAAAAAAAAAAAAAAAAAAAAAACCCGAAACAAATATTCTTTATTTATTTTATTTTTTTGGCACAAATTGTTTAAAAATACAGCTAATTGGGAAAGTTTTCCACCTTAAGAACAATGGATCTCATTCACTAAAATGTGCATAGACAACGCAAAAATGTTTTCACAAACAAATCATGATTCACTAAAAACATTTGTAGGCCTACTATATTATAAATGTACGGTTTTGTTTAGGAAAACCCGACACCACACGTAAAATAAATAGAAACATTAGGCTACTACAAACGAATTAAGTTGTCGAACAAAATGTAAAATTATTCAAAAGGCCCACTACTTAGGTAAATTAGCCTTTGCAAAAATTGAATAACCTATGACAGACCAGTGAGAATCCCAATAGGCCTGAAAGAGATTCATCTAAAAAGTAAATGTATAATAGCAACACTATTTGCCATTTTAATAAACAAGTTTTTAACCATCTACTGCACACATTTTGATGGTAGCCTACATGATAAAAATGATTCCACAATTTCTTGTGTCATTTGGGAACATTATTGATAATCTTTTTGACAATGTTCAGAGAGCAATACAAAATCTTAAATCTTTTTCAAAAATAAATACAAATATATTGTACATTAATACATGATGTGTTAACATCTTAACACATTGTCAAAAAAGACATTCTTGGAGACGTAGTCCTACCCTGTATGGCACAACGTTGCCGAGGCAACAAAAAGAAAAACTGAATTTCTGACCATGCAAAATAAAATAAAAACTTCCTAAAGGCTTCTCTATACCTTCATACAGTCACACACATTTTTATGTACAGTTCAAGTCATTTTTAAAATAAGATTACTAAAGCAAATAATCTTGCACCTTCTCACGCCATGTGCTCCTGTGACGGTGTGACCAATGTGAACACTTTCAAATGGTGCTTGATAGTGACTGGTGAACATGAGGCTTAAGAAAACCTTCTGTTGCCTAGGGTAACACTGTGCCTTAGACTAGAGGGTTAATGAACAGCCAAGATATCTAACTGTACATCTTACTCATTGCAATGCATGGTGCTATTATTCAATAATTATTAAATTAAAAAACACATAAAACATGCCACTTCTGAAGGGCAATCTTACTCCAAGGCTCGAATTTTAAATTTCCCCATAAAAATAAAAACAATTTTTTCTCTATACCTATTAAAGTTCCCACAAACCCCCCATTGATAGACACAAACACATTTAATATTCAGCATAATGCAATGTCACAGAGCTCTATTTTGCGAAATAAGACAGAATTATAACAGATTTCCTAACAGATCTCACAAATGTTGATAATTGCAAAAAAGAGTTTAAGAATTAAAGAGAGCATAGCCATTCACAAATGTGAGTGGCAATAAATACATTATGTAAAATGTGTTGTGCCATTTATTGTCAAGAGAAAACAATGAAGGAGGCCATTCATGGAATCATTTTGTTCTGGGGTCATTTTGTTCGTCTTATCCTAATCTTTTCGTCCATTCAGTCTGCCTTTACGTTTGAAAAAGGCTTGTCGGCTCTTTATCAAAGGGTGACTGCCAGAAATGTGTTCACAGAACATTTAGTCGCTAGTGACACATTTAAAATGATTCTTGAGATAATAAAGATCATATTCATTCATAGAGGTCTCTTCAGTGGAAGGATAACGGAACTTGGAATAGGCTTTGTCAATCTCCGACTGTCCCCATGGCAACATCGCCTTGATCTTCGATGCATGACTGATAATAACATCATCACAGGAGCCCACATGAAGGGAGCCAAGCCCATCAATATAAAATGCTGAAGAAAGAACAAAACCGTCAGGGTAATACTAAAATATTGCCAGTGCCACATGCATGCATGGTCTACTTTGCATTAGACCTCTTACCTAAATGGCCAACTCGAGCCAGACGAGGGTCAAAGCCTACTTCTCGTATCTTTTCTGTGCGAGCCATGAAAAAATTAATGACGGCATCTGCAACAACACAATTGGAGAATCCCTCGATGGCGTGGTGGAATCCTGTCCTTATGTGTAAGCAATCTCCCTCTTCATCACCTGCGTCTGTGGAGATGATGTGTCGATAGGTGGCAGTGTACCCCGTCACTTCTCTGACTGCTCCCCCCACCTCGCATAACAAACACAAACCCAGGAAGAAGTTTGTCAGTCAGGTTATTGAAAAGTACTTACATTATAAATTGCATAACAGTATTCCCAACACAATTTAAATAAATAAATAAATAAATAAATAAATATACATTGCATTAAAAGGCTATCCACCTTATACCTGACGACCTTACTGCGTTTTGAATGGGTAGCACTTCCGGTTTGGGGAACTTCCGTTCAAAAAGGCTAAAAAAAAACGTATTTTACTGTCTGTGGCTAATCATTTCAAATGATAAGGTTGCCCTACAAATAAAGCTAATCCGTCAGTTTAATAGGATGAATATGGGTGAGCTGTCAATTTTCCTTCATGATTTATTTTCAGACATCATGAGAATAACGTTATAGGCTGCTTGGTACTTTAACGTGACATGTTAGAATATCTATGGCAAGTCGCTGCTTACTCTTGATGATTTTAATTTTTTCATTTGCAACCCGCTGTAAAAGTATGAAAAATGACACCCTATATACGTCACGTTCGTGGTCTGTTCTCTCGAATTTAATTTACGATATTCCATTAGGCTAATAATTCACTGGAATGCACGAAAAATCTCCTCAAATCCTCATGTTCCTTTCCAGGTTTGTTTTCACAGGTTGATGCAATTTATCTGTCAAAATCACTTTGATATAGTCACGTAATGCTGAAGTTAATGAACATTTTGATTAAGGCTTATTAATACAATATACAGATATTTGCCTACTACAGTGATATTTAACCAAAGACTCGCGCATATGGGGCTATTTTTGGTCTGTTGAAAATACCTGTTGATTCTTTTAAACTTTTACGTTTTATTTTAATGTTAGATTTTTGAAGGGTGAGTCGATTAATGACATTTTTTAACGTATTGCGTTCATAGAGCGAGCCTTTCACTGATTGTTTACAGCTTAACGGAAGTTACACTTATAATGAATCAGACCTATAGGGATTATTAAAGCTAGAAAAGAAGAGCATAAAAGAATGTATAATTAAATTGATTTAAGGGATTTTAACTGGGAGCAGCATTAGGGTGAGGGTTGACGAGCTATATCCTCTAGTGGTGTAACCTTGTAACTGATGATGAAAGTAATAAGGGGCCGTGTAATAAGTCCATACACACAAGTATGGGGAAATCATTGTTTGCTGATGATGGGGCTCGTTGGTTTAAAGGAAATAATATAGTATGTAAATGCAATGTGTGTTAAATGAAGTTGAAAAGTGGGAGGCAATTTGTCACAGGGAGAACCAGAATTAAACAAAAATGCCGGCAACCACACAAAACACGAAAAGGGAACAATCACGCAGGAGGGGGAACGCCTCACCTCTTCCTCCAGACGGAAGAGAACAGGAAGCTTTTATCAGGATAAGTCTCCTAACTTTGTGTTAAAGTGTCTCATGGATAAATTTGACCTGGATGAAGTTTGGAGGGAACAGTTTCCAAACGACAAACAGTATACCTGGTCCAATAATGACTGCTCTAGACAATCCAGAATTGACTACTGGTTAGTTTTTCAGATCTTTAACGAGGGACGGCATTTCAGCCAATATCAGTAACACTCCATTGACCGATCATAAAGCGATCTACCTCTCAATAGCTCTGTCCTCAGATCAGTCCTCTGGCTCAAAAGCTTCATTTTGGAAACTTAATAGTTCCCTCCTTGAACATAAGCAGGTCAAACAAAGAGTTAAAGAACTGATTGAAAACATTTGGATTAAAGCAGACTCTCAGGGAGATTATGGGACAAATTGGGAGCTTCTATGATCTGAAAAATCTCAAAAACAACAAGAGCCCAGGGTGTGATGGTATAACTGCTGAATTATACAAAATGTTTGATTAATTACATTATCTTACATTACATTACATTACATTACCTTATCAATGGGCTTTGGAGGGTTGTAGCTTGAAATGTCTTTTGAATAAACGTTAACGTTAGGGCATTGAGTTGCTGGGTGCTATTTTGATTTAGTGATTGTAATTGTTTTTTTTTCTTTTTCTTTATATAACCTCTTTCTAGAATTACCTGAAATGAAAAGTTACCTCACCATTATTGCTCAAAAGGTAAGTTCCTCTGATTTTGTTTTTTAAAATCGTTTCTCAAGCAGAGCTGTAGAGACAGCTTTTGGGCTGATTGATAGTGTTAATTATTTGATAGATTTGCACTTTAATTTATTGAAGATAATAACTATATTTTTCTTCTATGAACAATTTATTTATTTGTATTCATTTATTGTTTGTGTTTTGAATTAAATAACATGACACGTTAAAAGCATCTTAAAAAGACATATTATTATGGGGAAAAAAAATTCTGGGAATATTTCAAGGCCCGGTACTAACGGGTTCACGGACCGGGGGTTGAGAATCACTGCCCTAGACCACTGCTCTGTCCACTTTCACCGCAACACTACACCACCCAACCAGACGAAACCCAAAAGGGTTACACCACTAAACCTCCCAGAGATGCACCCCTTTAATAACAATAACAATATAAAATAACCTATTTACCCAGATTTCCCGCACACAAGTCAAAATCAATGTTCTCTTCTACCATTACCGTGCCACGCTGTCAAATGCTAGCGTGTGGCATCACACCAGCGACACTTCATTCACAAATAGGCCTACCGTCCCACAACTGCACGCCTTAATATGTAGCAAAACGAGCCCTCATTTGTCACAGCCCGGCTCAGAGGTTGTGGCAAAGAAGCGGAACGCAAAACTTAATCAAAAGATAACTAATTTATTTACCAAACTAAACCAGACTTAAACACAAAACGCCGGCAACTACACAAAACACGAAAAGGGAACAATCAAGCAGTAGGGGGCAGAACGCCTCGCTCATTCCTCCTAGGGGCAGAGAGCAGGAAGCTTTTTTAATAGCAAGAGAAACTGCCACCACAAGTGTCCTCCAACAGGCCTCAGTATTGCAGCCCCCCCACTGAAACACAAAGCAGCAAAAAAGACTTACAGTAGACGAAGTGCCTTGGTTTAAGTTTGAGGATTAGTTAAGTGCTTGTGAAAGAGGTGTGTCTTCGGCTGTAAATCTCTACATCACGTTTCCATTATGGGAATCTTTATGGAATGTCATTTTAAGTGCTTAGCATTCTGATAGTGATAGTCTGTTGTGCCTTTATTAGTGATTAGATAAAGTTGACTAGAGGTCACTGTCTGCAACCCGGTGAATACTGGAATTAGCATGAGGCTAGTACAACCATTGTTTGTTTACGCTCTTGTGAAGTCAGTCGCTAGGTCTGCCTTCTCTGTGACATCACACACGTTGTTAAAGATGGCAAACGATGACTGGTCAGGAAGTAACTGTAAGTCTGACAAGTTTCTTGTCCACGACAGGACAAGAAGTCAAAACAAGAAGTTTTTTTCATTCGCCCCACAATGAAATGAGCCATCCAATTAGATTTGAGTTTACTCAAACCACTGCTGTTGCTCATGTGTAAATGTGGTGGCACGGTTTTGAAACCCTGTATGAACACCGAAGAAAAGTATTCCAGAAGAGAATGCGAGTTCTTGTTATCATTGGGGTCTGAAAAACAGATTTTTTAATATGAACTTTATACAGATTATCATGTCTATTCATTTTTCACTGAATTATGTGATCGTAACTTCTGCCCCACCGAATGACAACGTTGTGTTAATTTCATTGTTCTGAAATTCCTCACATAAACAACTGAGAAATAACATTAAGCCAAATATATAATGATTACGACGATATATGTTCTGTAGGCTATGTGTTTTTCATGCGGCTCGGTGTGTTCTTATGATAATAAAGTAAGAAATGCTTACAAGAGAAATGCTAAGCAAATGTAGCATTCAGTTATAATACACAACAAATAATCTGCAATCTGCCCATTACTGAATCAAAATCCACTTGATGATGGTTTGTGTAGTATTTATCTTGTATCTTGTGCTTCACATGGTTAAAGTCACAAACCCGTTTCACACATAGGCTACTCCGTTTGCACCGCACCGCAACACGCCCGTTTCACACAGTGCGTATGCGGTCCGTATTTTTTTCCGTACCCATGTTAACAGGTTAGAGCTTTCACACTGCACACGGATGCAGTCCGTCGATCCGTTCCAGTTGCGGTGCGTATACAGCAGTGCAGAGATCGTTTCCGTACCGAGTCTATTTCTGCTGTGCTGCAAACGCAGAAATAAAGTGACAGCGCACGGTTCGTCGTCAAAATACTCAGATTGACCTCGAAATGTAGTAGTTTCACCATAAATGCATTTAATTCAATAAAATCGCAGCCCGATCTCATGAAAGTTCGTATATCTATGGCACGAATGTCATTTCTCATGGCATTTGTACGGCAAAAACAGTTTTTGCGTGTATTTGGCACGCGATTTTCGCGTAGCCTACATATGATACGCACTTTTTTGCGTATAATACGCACGAACTCCCCACCCCCCTCCCCCCTAAACCTAACCCAGGGTTTTTTAGTGCGTACCATATACACGAAAAAAACACTTTTGGCGTATAAATGCCACGAGAAATGACACTCGTGGTATAGATACGCATCTTCATGAGACTGTGTGTGTGTTGGTTTAAACGAGCATGCGTCCATTCAAGTTTGTAAAAGAGAATCGCAAAGCCATGGCAAAACTTTTATTTTTAAAAAAGTTACTGCATATGGTGAACATATTTTGATTACCAAAAACCAGGACACATGGCCCAGAAAACAAATGATACTCGAAGTTTACTCAAAGATGCCTTATTAATTTCAATACAATTAAAATAGGCTATGCCCCCTCTGTGGATAGAAAATTGTTGTATTAAGACACAAAATCAGATAGGCTTCTCAGAGGATACTCAACATGTTTTATTATGACAGGTTGGTTTAAAAAATAATGAATGAAATAATGATTAAAAAATAATGTCTCTTCTGTATTAGAAAAATAAATATATCAGTATTAATTAACTAAAAGAAATACCTTGAAATTGAACAAAAATACCTCTCACAAACGTACTAAAACGAACTAGTTTCCTTCCTCTTTATCCTGTTTTTCCTCCTCATCCTCCTTGTCTGCTCATCTCCTACACTCTAAAAAATGCTGGGTTGTTTTAACCCAACTTTGGGTCAAATATGGACTAACCCAGCCGTTGGGTTAAATTTTTACATTACATTTTTAACCCAGCATTTAGGGTTTGTCCATATTTGACCCAAAATTGGGTTAAAACAACCCAGCATTTTTTAGAGTGTATATTTTGCTATAAAGCTGATCTTTTCCAGCGTTTTTTTTTTTTTTTTTTTTTTTTGAAAACCAGGACATCACTTTATAAAAAACGGCCAGGAAGGACGTGAAAACAGGACTGATAGGACTGTTGGTCACTGCTGGTCACGCTATTGCTGCATAACTTATGATTTTAAAATAAAAATAGCGAGTGTTTGTGGTACAGCTCACGCAATGCAAACGCAGCATATGTGAAAGCACTTTAGCGCGTGCGGCTCCTGTACCGGATACGCACCACAACACTCACCGCATACGCACTGCACACGGAGTATGTGTGAAACGGGCGTCAGTGCGTATGCGGTGAGTGTTGCGGTGCGTATCCGGTACAGGAGCCGCACGCGCGAGATGCATGCATGTGAAAAAAACCCCATCTAGGTCATTGACATTTTGCAGGTGTGAATTAGACGAAGGCAAGCATTTGTTTCACGTTCAGTTTAAAAACTCCTTTCATCTGCATTTCACAGCTTTATCTGGGTGAGAAAGATGTGAATCTCAGCTTTGTCTCAGTGTAGAACTCAAATATGATCATATTTAAATGTTATATTTAATGTGATTACCAAAACATTATTTGTTCTGATAAATAACCATAGAAAGGGTTATTACTAGTAAAAGCAGTAATAGTTCCTCCTGTAAAAGGAAGATGATTATGGGTTCCCTTTAATCCTCCAAATGTTTAAAACGCATTAATTTGTATTGATTATACCAATATATATATATATATACACCAATATATTTATACAAAAAAAAGTGCATAAAGCCCTTTTAAACCAAGAAATATTTAGTCTACATCGAGACCATAAATTTGATTTGTTCTTCATTGCCACATACATTTGTACAAACTCTGCACCATCAAACTCGTTACATGCAAAATTACAAATTGGGAGACTGCTGATTACCAAGATACATGTAAATGGGAAGATCAGAGCTATGTCAGTGATTTTATCGACAACCTAAACATGCTGCTTAAAAAAAGGCGTTATGTCTAGACGAGACATCTCCCATGCTGCCAATACCAAATAGACAAGTTGCCTTTGAATGGCAGTCAAACCATTTTTTTTTAAACACACTTTTAGAAAAGATGAAAAACACGCAAGCCCATTTAATCCATTTTACTAACAATTTACATGAATGAAGAGTCAATGAATTATGCACACATGGCGAATTTTCGAAATCCACTCCGATCAAGACCAAGCCATGTACGAATTCAGACGAAATTTCAAAGCATCAAAATGTACCTGGTAAAAATAAACTGAGAAATGATTATTACTGTGGACCAGTGTCTGCTAAAACCACTCAATGGCTGGGGTCCCCATCTCATGTCCAGTAACAAATCCTGTTAGAGCCATATAAAAGCTGGATTTGTGCCCGACACATCGTTTCACAATAATATTGAACCGTCCATTAAATTTGCTTGGACGAGATTTGATGCACAAAATGGGCATTGAAATGTTTTCTTTAAGAGTCGAGAGGAAAGAGACAAATGTTCACTCTCTTGAATGAACCATAGCCGCAGTCGCAGTGACTCACAACTGAGCAGAATGAAACCTCTACTTTCTCTTCCTGATAATTCCACAAGTCAGACAGCTGAATTGCATAACTAGAGCATGTAAATTAAATGAAGCCAAACGGGTTACGTTGTACACCAATTCCAAATATGCCCATAGTGTTTTGCATGATTTTGCTGCCACATGAAAACAGAGAAATTTCCGAACAGCTGATGGTAAGCCCATATCACATTCTAATCTGAGTGCGAACACTTACTGTAACTGTCATAAAAGTAACAGGGCATGCGACAGAGCTACTAAAGATGCGGGGAGGAAATCGATTAGCGGACATGACAGCAAAAGGGCATTGTAGAGTACCCCAACAAAACCATATAACCTAACTTTGCAATCACGGACTCTATCACATGCGAGTAAGCATAAAGTGTGTGAGACCATCAGTGAACTGTACTGTGTACCATGAGTGAGGGAAACAGTCAGTTTGATTCTAGATGCGTGTTTAACCTGCACAAAAACAAACCATCCAGTTAAACACAACACGTTACCACACCTGGAAGCACCATTCCAACATCTACAAATTGATTTTACCCACATGCTTCCTGTAGGGAATCTAAAACTTATGCTAGTAATAACTGATTGATTCTCAAATTGGCCGGAGGCAATATATTAGCACAGAAAACAATTCCTAGATTTGGCACACCAAGTGTGACTCAAAACGATAATGGCACTCCTTTTGCTTCAAAAGTGATTCCACAATTGCCAAACGCATTTGCAATTGATTGGCATTCCAACATTTACATAGAGCAGTGTAAAGAACAAATAGTGCATTAAAGAATGCGTGTAACAGACTGTCCTTAACTAAAATGTTGCTATAGTAGCCTAGTAACGCTAGAAGGCATTGCACTTGTGATTTAAAAAAAAAAGAAAGCCTTTTCCATTTCATCATTAAATCTATTTTCATATTCATCTTGACTGAGTTCCCCTCTCCTTAATTTACATTTATTCATTTAGCTGACGCTTTCATCCAATGCGACTTACAATTGCTATATATTGCTATGGAGCAACTAGGGGTTAAGTGTCTTGCTCAGGGACACATTGGTGTCTCCTACACTATCTAACGACGAATTCGTACAAGTGATTAAAAAGTGGCTAATTTGTACTAATTCATACGACCTCACTCGTACGAATTCGTACGATTCGTCTAAACCAACGTGATGGTTAGGTTTAGGGGCGGGGTCAGGGCTAGGTCATTCGTACGAATTCATAAGAATTGGCCAATTCGTAAAATATATACGATTTGCTAAAATCGTACGAGTGAGGTCGTAAGAATTGTTACGAATTAGCCACCTCGTAAAATTCGTACGAATTCCTGTGAGATCGGGTTGGTGTCTCGCAGTGGATTTGAACCCGGGACTCTCACACCAAAGGCATGCGTCTTCACTGCGCCATCACCACACCTTAAATCACAAGATTGTTTCTCTATAGGGAGAAACTGACTTTGTTAACTTATTTTCTTTGTCTTATTTTGTGGGAATGGTATATTTCTTTGTTTGTGAGGTTTAATGTGATTCTGTGTTTGGATCAAGTGTGTTTGGAGGAACGTCTTTTGTTTTTAACATGATGCCAATTTTATTGTTCAAATAAACGTGTCCGTGTTTACATCGCGCTTAAAAGATGCCAGCAGAATGGATTTCTTAAACAAATAAAATTACTAATTTGTTCATTGTACCAAGAGACTTTGTCTTTTCACTGCATCACCGAACCTGAGTTCCTTTCTTTACTTCCTTGGGAGAAACTCCTGAGTTGGCGTAGTCGGTGCTATTTGAATTAAATATATATTTAACGTATCGGCCAGCTTACAGTCAGTACCTATTAGGGTTTGCGTTCAAGCATGCGTTTTCTAGTTTACAATCCCTCAATAAGCCAAACACACTTGTGTATTTGTTAAGGGCAGTGTTTGTTTGTGTTGTGTGAACACAGCAGCAATGTTTCTCAACTTACTACATCCAACACCCTTTAACTTTAGAATGTTTTTGTTTGTTGAGGCAGGTGAACCAAACCCCAGGTGCATGATGCCTCCTGCTTGCTTCTTTGCATCTTAAAAAAATTCTGTTTATTAGGGCCCGAGCACTAACAGTGCGAGGACCCTATTGAAACTGTTGGGATTATTTATTAGGGCCCGAGCACTAACAGTGCGAGGACCCTCTTGAAACTGTTAGGGTTATTTTTTTTTTTTTCTTTTTTCTTTTTTCCTTTTTCTTTTTTTTTTTTTCTGCAAAGTAAGCGCCATTTTCGGGGCGTCAACATGCTCAAAAACTCACCAAATTTGGCACGCATGTCAGGACTGGTGAAAAATTTCGTATTTTGTGGGTTTCGCGGATAGGCGTGGCAAAATGGCTCCCTAGCGCCATCTAGAAAATTGGAAAAAATTAGCCCCTCGTCCACGTTCAACCTACAAACACGAAATTTGGTGGGGACGTGTATCATATCAAGACGCACAAAAAAGCCTCAAGAACCCATACCCTAAACTCAACAGGAAGTCGGCCATTTTGAATTTGGCGCCCATTTTGGGAAGATTTACACACTCAGTACTTTAACGAACTCCTCCTAGGGATTTAGTCCGATCGACTTCAAATGTCTGGTGTGCCTTCTAAAAGCATTGACGATGTAAAGTTGTGCTATCTGCGCATTTTCGTCGATGATGCGCCATGAAACAGGAAGTTGTAGTAACTTGGCTGTAAATGCCCAGATCTGCACGAATTTTTACACATTTGACAAGAGTCCCGCCCTGAACAAATCTACATGCTGACATTCACCCACAGTAATAGCGCCACCTGCTGGCAACAGGAAGTGACCTTTAACGAAGCAGCCCCCGTCGCATGTTTGACCGACATGTACGAAATTTCTGTGGCACATCTACCATGTCCAGACGCACTGAAAAGTCTCTTGGAGCGATGCCCTAAACTCAACAGGAAGTCGGCCATTTCGAATTTTACCGCCATTTTTGGATGATTTACTCATTACGTACTTTAACTAACTCCTCCTAGGGCTTTAGTTGGATCGACTTCACATTTCTACTGTGCCTTCTAAAGGCATTGACGATGTAAAGTTGTGCTATCTGCGCGTTTTCGTCAATGGGCGTGTCCGTGGCGTCGATGATTCGCCATGAAACAGGAAGTTGTAGTAACTTGGCTGTAAATGCCCAGATCTGGACAAAATTTTACACATTTGACAAGAGTCCCGCCCTGAACAAATCTACATGTCGACATTCACCCACAGTCATAGCGCCACCCAGTGACAGCAGGAAGTGACCTTTAACGAAGCAGTACCCGTCGCATGTTTGACCGACATGTACGAAATTGCTGTGGTACATCTACCATGTCCAGACACACAGAAAAGTCTCTTGGAGCGTTGCCCTAAACTCAACAGGAAGTCAGCCATTTCTAATTTTACCGCCATTTTGGGATGATTTACTCATTACGTACTTTAACAAACTCCACCTAGGGATTTAGTCGGATCGACTTCAAATTTCTGCTGTGCCTTCTAAAGGCATTGACGATGTAAAGTTGTGCTATCTGCACGTTTTCGTCGATGGGCGTGTCCGTGGCGTCGAAGATTCGCCATGAAACAGGAAGTTGTAGTAACTTGGCTGTAAATGCCCAGATCTGAATGAAATTTGACACATTTGACAAGAGTCCCGCCCTGAACAAATCTACATGCCCGCATTCACCCTAAGTCATAGCGCCACCTGCTGGCAACAGAAAGTGACCTTTAACGAAGCAGCGAACCAAATTCACAGCCGCACCGGCTGAGCCGCAGAATATGCAACGCGGCCGCCTCACACCCCGACGCGCTACAGGTGCGAGGGCCCGCCCATCGCTGCTTGCAGCTTTAATGTTGTCTTTGAATCTCATTTTTTTGCCAAAACTAGTCAAGCAATACAGAAGCTTTGTGTTATGAGTAATATGCATGTGCATATTATGAATGTGTTCTTTTAGCATGTGCATATGTATGTGTTCATTTTAGCTGCACATGCAAAATGTGTCAGATTATGTAAAGCAGTTTCCTATACATCCCCGTTTCTAAATCAAAAAGTTGTGGCTTTATACCTTTGGATGGAGAACCTGCAACTAACTATGCGACAGGTTGCCATTATTTTGTTATTCATCACTGTCTGCTTCTCCTTACAAACATGTAACATGCAACAAAAATTGCTCTCTCACCAGGTCTAAAGTGGTTCTCTCCAAAATATCCACCATCTTTTCCAGTTTGGTGCTTGAGGTGAAAATGAAGTCATCATCCACCCAAAGCACATATTTGGTTGTTACCTGAGAGACTGCCAGATTACGCCCAGCAAACCAGCCCTGTAATGAGGAGCAGACAGACAAACAATCTATTCATCCAGCAAAAGGAAACATTGCAGCTCAAAAAGCCCATGCTGAGTTAACATGCAATAACATCCATACCTTGCCAAAGGGCATGATATAATGTTCAATGTAGGGACCAGTTACAGGTTTAGGATCCTTGGTGTCATCAGCTATCACTATAGTTATAGTAGGGTAGAACTGTCGAATGCTGTTGATCAAATCCTGAAGTTTATCGTAACGTAGAAATGTTTTTGTGGCAATAGTGACCAGAGTGCTTACATTGTATTCTGTGGGAAGGAAAATATCAAAACATGATTAAGTTGAAAAGACTTCATATAATATAAATAGGTTTTACCTTTTCTGGGTCCAGGATTATAGAATTTAGGCATTGGTGGATGTCTGATCTTAATTGTGAAGGTGGCCAGGAAATTACCTGCTTTAAATTGTACTGTCACAGACAAAGGAAAAGTGTTATATATTTAAAAATACTGCTGAACAGAGCTAAACCTGTGTTACAGCATAAATCAATTCTAAATGACATGTATTGTCAGTAAATGTTGTTCAAAATCAAACAGTTTATAACATTAGGCATATACAACATGATATACATGTGTAATTTCCAAAGTTTTGCAGTTTTCTGCATTTCTGAGTCTTTCTGTTAAAATGTAGCCTATCTTTTTGATGATCTTGCCTTATGATGATTTTTTAATCCAATACAATTATCTTCTAAATCCCTGTAGATGGGTTTACCCTCTGTCATTAACATTACCACAGGCAATTATGTCAATATTTACCCTCGTTTCAAAACTGTTTGCGGTAATTTTATTGTGTTGAACACAAAAAATGATTTAAGAATACATATTCACAAATATTTATACAGCTCTCTCCATTCAACAGTTTAGTGACCATGGGATAACAAGATCCATAAAAAGTAGCCCAAAAGAGCAAATGTACTAATGTACTAAAGAGAAACAAACCCAAATGTAAGTGATTTTTCACTCTCAAATCTCTTTCTTACCAAGTATTGTCAGTACAGTAAATTGTGTGGGTTTTTTTTAAAAATGGTGCTCAAACATGAGTCAGAGAAAACAGCATTAGATATAGTTTCTGTTTTCAGCCATCGTTCATTTCACGTCTAATCTCAAACGTTGACAGTTTCTTGCATTTCTTTTGCACTGAAATACATCACGTCCTGATCTTGCCTTATTTATAGATTTGTCTAGATTTGTAGATTTGGATTATTTATTTCTATATTATTCTATTTTATAAATCCTTATCAGTCCTTTGTGTCATTACAAGATAATCAAAGGAACTGGTTATTCAAGACGGCAGGAAACATATGCTGGCCAGATAATGGATATTTGCCTTGACCATTTTCTTCTCTACGCAGTGCTGTACAGTCATAATGGCAATCATGGAGCTGTTTGCTCAGTGCTGGCGTTTGTTGTAATTGTAGATGGAGCAGAGAACATGTTTCTGAGAGCAAATTTTTTTTTTGTCAAACCAATGAGATAATACATTGTGTTATTGTTTGCATAACAAACATCTAAATTCATTATACCCAATTGTGGATGTTAAATTTTTTTTATTATTGCTGAATTAAAGAACATAACCATATTAGATTTAAAGAATGTGTTCTGGAGTCTCACCTACATCTGCTGTGTTGGGATGGAACAGTGTGTTTGTGTAGGTAACAAACTCAAGCTGTCTGTTTAGTGAGGCCAGAGATCTGCTCATAAAACTAATATGCATCTCTCCTTCCCCTTTGACTTGCACTCCATCAACCAGCGCTGCTGTATTGAACGTTCCCATTGTAGCATTCAGATCTACCTGCAAATGATATTGAATGAATAATAGGGTCATGATAACTTTTGAACTAAATGACTCTCATCATAGAACTTTTCATCATAGAACAAATTTACCCCCTCAGTCTTGCAGCTTTCTTTAAATAAAATCTCCATTCATGGGATAGTTAATGTCCAAAAATGATAATTGTGTAAATTTACCCTCATTTCAACGTGTATGCTGGAACATGAATCAAGAATATCTTATATACAAGAGTAATTGACCATGGGCTAACAAAATTCATAAAAAGTAGTCCAAGCCATTTTTTTAAGTCACATGATAGGTTTATGTGAGAAACAGACCAAAATGCAAGTCATTAATCCATTCTCAAATAATTATTGTTGGATTACAGATTTATAAAATGTTATATCTAAGTTCCAATTCAATAGTATATAAACTGAGAAAGTTCTGAACATTGCGTTTTACATTTTGAAGTATAAATGATGAGATTCTAAGAAGATCAAGTCAAGCAACTCCGGTCTCTGACAAACATTTTGTCGTTATGCACCTCCTGAACCTCATTATACCAAGTTAAGCGATGATAATGTGAAGATATAGGCAATACTGCCAGGCTGAATGGATTAGCATCTATGCGTTTGAATGACACTGTTATGCTCATGAGATCAGGGCTGGGGAAATTCCAGTAACGAGGTGACTCTACGTCATTTAAATGCTTTGTTCAGAGTGTCTCCAGTTCTATGTAAATCCCTTGAAATATATATAAACTACAAATGTACACAGCCTTAGAATGCAGCTACTGACAGCTTGTGTTCTTAATAAAGACTCCTGCTGAAAATACAACCAAGTCTCCTGGTCTTCGCTTGTGAATTTCCTACAGTTTTGGTGCCGTGACCCGGAAAGAGCTCCTCACCTGAAGATTGAAACTTCAAGCTCAAAGATCTGACTGTGCTCCAGACTGAATCTTTTTGTACAACCAAGGGTTGGTGAGTGCCACTCTATGCAAAAGGACCTTTAAGACCAGTACAAGTTTGTTATCCTCTGCACCGTCAGAGAAGAGTTAACAGACAGCTGTAGGGTTTGGTAACTAAGGTTAAATTAGTTATCCTGTAATATCCTCAAATACGATTGACAATTAGCATACAGTTTAGATTGGCGGTATGGTTCTGTTGTGGGCAAGATCTCCCATGCAGCCTAGCATGGATAAGAGCAGGGAGAGCTGCAATTGCAATGCAGCTGCAATGCTTTTGCAGTTAGCGGAGTAAGCGAAGGCAACAAGTATGTTGCCAATATCTGGAAAACTTGAGCATGTTACCAACAATACCGGAAAGCCTTAAGCAACTAGTATGTTGCCCTTACCTGGATGACCTAAACAAGCATGTTGCCAATTCCCGAATCAGCCATAGCAACAAGCATGCTGTCAATACCCGAAATGCTTAAGCATTAAACGTGCTTATTGCCATGAATGGCATGCCATCTGAAATGAAGAAGTGAAAATCAAAATCTATCAGCTGCTTGCTTGTGGTTGTATATTGCCTGTCCAGTTCCAGTTTCTTTTGAGTGTTGACTGTAAGCTAGCGATGAGAGAGGGAGATTTCCTTTTCAATTATCCTTTTCATTGGAAATATGTCACAATACTGAGTGATGTTGGTGGAAACTTCCAGTTTGCGTAGAATTAAGCGACACGTCATTAGTACAGCTGGATGGTTTAAAGCGCGAATCTGACTGACGCTTATTTATAACACATATGTAGGTTTGCAAAACTGCACCCGTCAATGATGTCATGACCTTGTTATACTTGGTTGTAGTTCACTTCTGTAGAAACCAAGAATAAACTTTTTTTTTTTTTTACACTACACATCCTGATTTTAGCGGCATATGTTGAGCACTAGGATCCAATTTAATGCGAAGAATCACCCCAGCTGGAGCAAGCAAGGACACATTGCAACAAGTGTGTTTCTGTAGCCCATTTACCAATTGATGGGATCTATTGGGGGAAGCTTACACTCCTAGCGGCAGCTTACACCCGTAGCGACTATGCATTAAATTAATAGTTCAGCGAAAATACTGTATATGTAAGGAATTGCCATTTATGAAGCAAACAGAATGATTTTCTTACCGAATAATGGTCCACTTTATTTATTTGGTTCAGACTCAAACCTGTACAGAACAGAACATTAACAGACTTAATTTGTAGTCTCGTGCTTTAACACACACACACACACACACACACACATAGCTTATATGCAAAAAATAAAAAATGTAATCATAAACCAGGCAGGTGTTAAAATAGCTATGTGTACAAGACAAACATGCATATTAAAGTGTAATATATATATATATATATATATATATATATATAATAAAATCTTTTTTTCCTGTAGAATGGAAATTGCATTCTCAGGTAATTTACCTCAAGACAGATACTAAAGAACTATTCGCACTGGATTAGTATTATCTGGGGACCTCGTGTCATTTAGAAATTACCCACCCACATCTGATTTTTGAAATGGTAACACAAATATGACTAAGTCCACATATCTGATTGGAAATGACACATTAAAAAAAAATTCTACATGGTAACCACGTGGTGAAACTAGCTTATGACAAGCCGTAAAATTCTGTTTATCTTCTGTCTATTATATTATAAAAACATTGTGTTTTACCAGGAATTAGAATGGTCATTGTTGGTCTGACTTCCACACCCTGTGTAGGATACTGAAGAGGGCTGTTTGCTTCAGATAAGATAAGTGAATCTGCAGCTGTATGCGTCCTGAATAGAGAAACACAATCAATTTAGCAGTTAAGGTCCTACTTAAAGGGAATAATTCACACAAGATGAAAATTCTGTCATTATATATTCATGTTATTCGAAATAAAGTGGACTTTTTTTTATCCTTACAATGAAGTGTGGACCCTAACATTATTTTGTGTTCAACAGAAGAGTCATACTGGTTTCAGATTGCACAAGGGTGAGTAAAGCATGACAGAATTTTCATATTTGAGTGAACTCTCCCTTTAGTGGGTAAAGAGACGAAGGAAAAACAAAACAATTGTATCTTTTTACAAAAACTGTATTCAAAATGAGCAACGGCATTTTTTTGCATGCTGAAATAGTGAAATGATGGACCACCTCTTATAGAAACTGCGAAACTCTTTATTTCTGTATTGCTTTGCTTTTTGCTGGTCTGAATCTTGGACGGATGCATGTAGCTGTGAAGCTGATACTTGACGGTACAGGAGATGAGCGAATGGAATGCCTGGTTTGTCCCCTTCACAAACACACCCATTAACAGCAAGTAACCTGGTAAAAAGTAAAAAAATATATACATAAAATTATGGGCTTAAATTTATGCCATTCATTCCATGTGCAAAAAAATAAATAAAAATAGTGTAAAGTGGAAGAGGTGCCAATATGATCGTTAATGTGGAGATTTTCATTTAAAATTATGTTTTAAATTTCCAGCCTGAAAACAGAAGACCTTTTTCCAGTGTCACCGAATCCCAAAATACATCTGCAATATGTCCGGATTAGGAAGGGATTTTGTACTTTAGCTATGCAAAGCTGGCAGACAAGTTTGAGTGTCTCTTACTTTGACATGCCATCTTTGATATGGTAAGGGATGTGGTCATTTCCGCGGTCCATGCTTCGTATCCTTTTCTCTAGTAGCATGTTTAAAGAGTCATCTCCCTGTATCATATTAATCGTTGTAATGGTGTTTGAGTTCCAGTGGTAAATGAGCATGCCTGTGAGCGGCAAGACCACCAGGAAAACCACCACTGATTTCTTGTTTGGAAAACGCATAATTGCCTAAAGCAAAAAAAGACAGGAGATTAAACATTTACATTAAACATTTACATTTACACTTACTCATGATGCTTTTATCCGAAACATCTTACAATTGCTATATATGTCAGAGGTTGCACGCCTCTGGAGCAACTAGGGGTTAAGTGTCTTGCTCAAGGACACATTGGTGTCTCTCAGTGGATTGGAACCCAGGTCTCTCACCAAAGGCATGTGTCTTATCCACTGCGCCATCACCACCCCACCGTATTGTATTGGCTATCACATACAAATTTAGAGCTAGAGTCATTATGAAAACATACATATTATCTTCAGGATACGTTTTTTTTTAATGAAAATTTTTAGTTAGGCGGCCTAATAAGAATTAACCAGTCCGGTCACTGTTTTGCAATCATCTTGTATTCTGATATTCAGTATACAGAATTCTGATTCTCAAAGCAGACAAATAAACCCAACCAACCAACCATCTGCAGCATCAGTTAAAACAAAAAACAAAGACCTAATTTTCTGATTTTTACATTTCTCTTCAGTGTTATGGAACTAGCAGCTTATTTAGAGGAGAGCACATCTTTTTAATCTATGATCAAATTTGATTCAATTTTGATCTATGATACTGATCTATGATATACAAACAGTATATTCTTAAGCTTAAATGTTATGAGCGCTCTCATTTTCATTGACAATCTTTGCAATTCACATGTTTGCCAAAATTCTTAATATTCAAACCAGCGCTGTCAACGCGTTACTGTTTACGATTCATTCATGGTTAAATTTCTTTAAGGCAGTTACCGCGCATAATTTTTTTTTTTAATTCAACCGGTATGAAATATGATCAGTATGAAAAACACTGTTAAAAGGGGCAATGTGTAAGAATTTTGAGTATCTATTAACAAATGCAATTCATACCTGGTGGGCAAGAACGCCGTTCTCCAGCAATGAAACCCAATAAACTAGTCAAGGAGCTTGCCAGGACGTCGCCAGTTTTTATACAACACCACCATAATTTACAAATATATTCTTTAAAAATCCTACAATGGGATTTCCTGGATTTTTTTTTTTTTTTCATTTTTTTCCTTCATATTTGAAGTGTAGGCTACCTAAGATGAAAATTACAGACCTCTCTCATCATTCTAAGTCGGAGAACTTGCATAATAATTGGCTGACTAAATACTTTTGGCCCCACTATATAACCTGCCTTACTGTAGTCGTTAAGTGTGTCCCCAGCTTAAGGCAAAACGCCCCTAAAGGGGTGGTGATGAGAGACCCGGGTTCGAATCCACTGTGAGACACCAATGTGTCCCTGAGCAAGACACTTAACCCCTAGTTGTTCCAGAGGCCTGCGACCTCTGACATATATAGCAATTGTAAGTCGCTTTGGATAAAAGCATCAGCTAAATTAATAAAATGTAAATGTAAAACATCACACAATCCAAATTTAATATAGTGGGGACATTTCTTTTTTAAGTGAGAGCATTTTAGCCTTCACAAGTCATAGACATATACACTAGACCTCACCTTGGGTTCTAAGCATGCGCCATCTTGGAACAGGGGTCTTGTCATAGGAAGTAGCTATAATGCTGCTATCTCTGCCTTTACTTCGAATTCATTGATGGTGGCGGACTTTTGTGCAACGTATGATGTTCACGGATGAAATCTGAACTTGGAAGAATGTTTTTTTTTTAAATACATTTTTTCTTTCTGGAATCAATGATAAATACATGTCTGACCGTTGGAACAAACAAAAAAACAAGAAAAATCGCATTCATGATGATTTATGGTGATTTTATTTCCGTTAGACCCGTGTCTGATGAATTAAAGTTGAGGGGCTCCCCTGTTTCAAGATGGCGGCTCTATTGACGCATTCGTTCCAAAGAAACTGCCGTAGCCAAGGTGAGGTCTAGTGTATAGACCATTTCACAAGATGTAAACAACACTGGTCCAGAAGCACTTCCTGTTTCAGTTTTTTAACACTAGATAAAAGCTGGGATAAAATACAACCAACAGAACATTTAAAACTGAATCAAAAAGTTAAACAAACATCTTTAAGATGTTTTCTTTACATGTGAAATAAAGAAAACGGTTACAAACGGAAACAGGTAGTGCTTCTGGACCAGTGTTGTTTACATCTTGTGAAATGGTCTATATGTCTATGTTCACAAGTAACCAAACCCATGCAAACCCACAAATATGTGCAAGAATAAAAACAATAACAACACCATCTACCGTTTAGAATTCATTGCAGTATGTTGCATGTTAACATTACAGTACAAAATGATTCAAGTTTCCCTTTTGTATGGTAATGAAATTGAAAGACTAACCTGCAGGTGTTCAGCTGCATCTAATTGTTTTGATTGCATTTCATTTTTTACGGTAATTATTATTATTATTATTATTATTATTATTATTAGACTTTATTGTCCACCTTAGTGGAAATTTGTCTTCGACTTCTCAGAACAAAAATACATCAGTGACACCACATTTAAATAATACTAGCCTATAGAAACAATGTGCAGTCTTATGTATTATGCAAGGTTTTCAACTTAAGTTTAACAGTTTTGAAAAGCTTGTCTTAACGTGCAAATTGGCTTGTAGGTGTCTAAACACAGGGGCGTCGCAACCGTGGGGGATGTGGGTGTTTTAACACCCACACTTTTCTCGGTGAGAGTGTTCAACACCCGCACTTTTTCTGCCGTTTTTCCGCAGTTTTACACAAACGCCTTCCTACAGTCGCTCCTCCGTTTCTCTGGCGCTCAGTGTGTGTGTGTGTGTGTGCGCTCTCTGCGGCTGTCTCCTCTCAAACATGACACCGGCTTTGAGTGTGTCCGGCTGATGATTGGCTGTTCTGCCTTAAGTCCCGCCTCTCTTGATGTGTTAGATGTATCGGTCAGCTCGTGCTGAGGAGGCTGGAACTTATGGTTGTTTACATCTCCCTTTTCCAGGTGCTTTGAATGAGTGTTTATTAGGGGTGTAACGGTACACAAAAATCACGGTTCGGTACGTACCTCGGTTTTAAAGTCACGGTTCGGTACGTTTTCGATACAGCAAAAAGAAAGAAATGCCAGAGAAATTTCCTATTTGTTTAAAGAAAAAATATTTTTAAATAAGTGTGAGTTTTCCTAGATCTTGAAACTTTCAGGTTTATAAATGGGGGTCATCTTTGAAGGATGAACAAATAATGTTTTGGTCATCACACACCTCAGAAAAAAAAGGTACAAAAGTTGTCACTGGGGCTGTACCTTTTCAAAAGGTAAACTTTTGTCCATTTCATGAGCTAATAAGTACATTTAGGTGTTAATATGTACATTTTGGGTGTTAATATGTACATTTTAAGTGTTAATATGTACATTTAAGTGTTAATATGTACATTTTAGGTGCTAATATGTCCATTTCAGGAGGTAATATGTCAATATTATGAGCTAATATGTCCATTTTAGGTCGTAATATGTACATTTGAGGTACTAATATGTACATTTTAAGTGTTAATATGTACATTTAAGGTGCTAATATGTCAATTTCATGAGCTAATTATGTCCTTTTCAGGTGGTAATATGTCCATTTTAGGTGCTAATATGTACCACTAAGGTACCAATATGCAGCCTTTGGGTACAAAAGTGTACCTTTTGAAAAGGTACAGCCCCAGTGACAGCTTTTGTACCTTTTTTTCTGAGAGTGCATTAAAAATAACATTTAAATATATATATTTATTTATATAATATTTGAATTTTGAAGTGCTAGAAAAAGATGTGTGAAGTACTTGAAAGCATTTCACCATTCCAGCCAAACTGGTTCCAGTTAGTGTTACTATATTAAATCCATGGTGAATGTTGCTGGTCTGTGGACGAAAGTATTACTAGTTCATTCACGGCACAATGTTTCTCCTGGTTTCCATGACAGCGCTGTTTAATCTAATAGAGATCTACGGTAAAATAACGGAGAAATGTGTATGCATCTCACTAGATCTCGCAGCGATGTTATTACCTCAGTGGCGAATTCAAATGTTTTCTTTACCGGATCTCTTAGCGCTGTGTAGTAACAGTGTTGCTTGATGGAGATCGGCTCGCGCTGCACAGATGTTGCTGGTCCGAACTGATAAACGATCCGTGAAGCACATAACGAGTAGCGCAGTTTCGTTCTGCTTTCATTACGCTTGCCAATTTGATGTTGCGCAACGTTGTGTTGGCCGCGTCAGCACGAATTTTGCCGGCAGGAAAAATTATCCAAGCAACCGTTCGGTTTGTATGCGTACCGAACCGGAAGCCTCGAACCGAAACGGTTCAATACGAATACATGTACCGTTACACCCCTAGTGTTTATGCTTTCGAGGTTTTTAAATAAGCTTGATGTGTTTGGGAAGATGTTATGTTTATGTTTTATTGACATGTCCAGTGTTTTCATTATTATTTTTCGTATTTTTGGATAAACAGTACAAGACTTGCGTTAGGCATTCTGCTGCGTGATTTGAGAAAAAAAAAAAAAAAAAAAACGCGCTCTTTGCTTTTCTCCTAAATAAAAGCTCAAGGTTTTATTTTTTACAAGTGAAGAAATTAGGACAAAAGTATTGTAATTTTGATAGCGTATAGAATATAATGACAGACTCTATATCATAACTATAGAGATGTTTGAGCCCTCTTTAGGGAAGCTACAAGTCAATGCTTTTTCGTTGTTCACAGCCCATTCTCACTCCCAAGGCGTCAGTTAGGTGACGCCTTGGGAAGCATTTGGCCATGCTTCAATATCTGACGCTTTAGGCGCCCTTTAGCGTCAGTTAGATGACGCCCTAGGATCGCGTGTACCCTACCCCCACCCCATACCTAAACCTAACCGCGTCCTCTAACTGACGCTTTCCTTTAGCATCAGTTAGATGACGCCGTAGGATCGCGTCATGTAAGTGACGCTAAAGGGCGCCTAAAACGTCAAATATTGAAGCATGGTCAAAGGTGACGCCTTGGGGTGAGAATGCGTTGGTTGTTGTTGTTCAATGTGCACAGGCCTGGGTCGAATCCAGTTGAAGCTCTTAATTTTGAGCTCTCAATGTGCTCCAGATTGATGCATTTAACCTTAAATGTACCAAATTTTCTTGCGGGGGAGCATGCCCCCGAACCCCCCTAGAGGGACAGGGGTCTACGTAACATGCCCAAATTTAAATGACACATCCATCCCCCACACTTTTCAAAAGCTTGCTACACCTCTGTCTAAACATGTCTAATGTAGAAAATAAATTAGGATGTATTCATCATTTTGTGCTAAACTTGTAACAATCAACAGCTTAGCACACAGACTGCTGTTGTGGTCACTGATACATTTTTAACCATGAACAAAGTCTTGCAAAAAAGAGCCCTCGCAGTTGTAAAACACACACACACACACACACACACACACACACACACACACACACACACTGAAACTAAAATGTAGACTTTAGAATTTTAGATTTTAACTTCTGTGTGCCTCTGCTTGAAAGTTATTCAAAAAATGTGTCCTTTTTTGTGCCTATCAGGTCCTAAAAAAGGAAGCAGCATTAGCCTATAAGAAAGAAAGAAAGAAAGAAAGAAAGAAAGAAAGAAAGAAAGAAAGAAAGAAAGAAAGAAAGAAAGAAAGAAAGAAAGAAAACTTCAAGAGGTTTATTTGGTTAGAAAGATTAGTAATTTGGAAGCGCTCAATATTTTACATGTGAACCACACTTTTTTACGTGTTTTTTACGACACAGTACAAAGTCCATGTTTTAAATAATTTATTAGGCTACAGCTGTTGTTCACCAGCATATGCAAATCATTAACCACCTGAGGCTAGCTTATCGAACAGTGTAGGCTATAATGAATGTGTTTATTACAGTATAGTCTGAAAGTGTTAGCCTATATTCTGCTTGTCTCATTTTACAATTTATAAAAAAGGCCAATATAAATTATTTTTGGCTTAATTAATGGCTATTAGCTATGTTCGTTTGAACCACGAATTAAAAATAGTGCATCGATATTTTTAAAATAGTAGCCTATTGGCATGTTACCGGGCCATGTACCCTACTGAGCAGCTTAATACGAACTTCCGTAATGTAGGCTAGTCATGCACCTATTTGTTTAACGTTACTGGGATTAATTTGCTATTCGAATGTCTAATGTAGCTTTATGGGCACCAATAAAACGTTTAAAAGGCTAAACTTTAGTTTGCCCCCAGTTGAGAGCAGCAACAACAAAGAATTCGACATTTAAAAGATATTACACTTAGAAAAAAAAATATATGCTATACTTTTTCTATATGAATTATGTTTTAAGCATTTCTTGAAATTAGTGTATTAAACAGACATTTCGGCAGCTTTCTTTTGGGGACCTTCAGGTAAAGTTTCATTTTTTTCAATGACATATAGTATAATTACATATTTGCAGCATATAATGTCTTACCCTAAAATGGGATTAATTCCAAAATCGATTTAATTGCTTCAAGTGCAAAGACGCGTGTGTAGAGTCGTAAATGAAGATTTGGAACTGGTCGAATAGAAGATCCCCTTTTGACTAGCCTGGTTGCTCGTTTAATCGAAAAACAAAACGCAACTCCTAACTTACGCAAGATCAGTATAGTGCAAGTAGCCTAACCGGATGCAGCAGAGGCACAGCACTCTCACGCAAGTGACTGTTATCACGCAGTAAAAAAAATAAAAATAATAATAATAGAAAAAGAAAAAAAATAGAAAAAAAGCAGGACACAGACACATGAGCAGGCTAAGCAGTACTGTAAACACATTCTTGGGTTACTCATGCTGGGTCAAATGAGTTGTGAGGGGGTCATTCACTAAACAGCTTGTGTTATTTCTCAGCCTGTTCAACATTCAGTCGTTGATGTGGAAGTGTGAGGGGTAATCTCTGGTATTTATTCTGTAAAAAAAAGCCACAACTAGCCGGTTAGATTTTTTGACAAAATGCCGCGTTATGCTCTTCAACCCTTCCACTGCTTGTCGTCTTCTGCACTCGTCTCGAACGGTGTCATTTAGATCCCCATATCTCCCAAGACTCTTCACTGGCTTCACAGAAACTGTTGGCATTGCCTCACCAGTATGTGAGTAAAACACATCAGAATGATTTATCTACTATCTGTCCTTTAACTATCGAGATACTCCTTGATTTAGAGGGCTTAAAATGCATTCATGCTCATTCAATATTATTTGTTAACTTTGCCAATAACCGATTAGTGTAATACTACTGTAGTCATGGGTGTCATGTCAGCCATGTATATTGGTGGTAGTCACATCCCAGAAGCCAAGCGCTCTCCTCCTACTACCCATCTAACGTATTCTCATCCGAGTCATCCCAAGGCGTCATATACGACACTTTTGCCAAAGCGTAGACATCCAACGCACATGGCAACCTTAAGCGTCAAATGAGACGCTTCGGTCATGGTAACATTGATGTTATCTTGATGTAACATTGATATAAAGGCATATTTTAATCAGTGTTTAGCTTCTAACAGACATAGCTATATCAAGCATAGTAAGTTTTATCATGGCTGTCAGTGTAAGGACAGTTGCAACCACCCCAAAATGCGACTGCAAATGTCCCTGATCACAAAAGCAATGTGCAAGCTTTTCATAACAAAATTGTAAATTTATTAAAGAATTTTATTGAACAGGTATTTATTAAAGAATATTGAACTAAGGCCCTTGATCCAAGTCTTGTGCAACCAGGCCATAATGTTTCACAGTTTTTAAGTAAACGTGCAAATTAGCCAGTAAATACGGCTTTGCCAACGATTGTGTAAAAGTGAGAAAATAATTTATGTAATTTGAAAGTAGTAGTCATTGAATGCATTTGTGCCAAAGCAATGATAAATGATCCCCGGTTTAGCCCAGATTGACTTCTGTTCTGCTCACTCTGATGATTTTTTTTTAAGTGACCAAAGTATTCATAAATCCATCCTAGCATTTAGAAATCTATTACATTGAAGCACAAATAAAATAAAGAAATTGCCAAAAATTATATTAAAGATTGATTTTATTAATGACTTTGCAGCCATCCCCTGCTATTGGGTGAGGTGCAAGATTTAACTGTCTATTAAAGTATAATAATTCTCTGATTTTTCTGCAATAAGTGTTTAGTAGTTTGCATCCCTGATTATTTATGTTGTCCAATGGAATGCTCTGGCGCCCCCCTAGGGAGGCTCTCCTCACACTTTGAAAACCCTTGAGTTAAAACATCTTGAGGCAAAAACAGCCCATTCTCACTCCCAAGGCGTCACCTAACTGACGCCTTGGGAAGCATTTGGACATGCTTCAATATCTGACGCTTTAGGCGCCCTTTAGCGTTAAAGGGCGTCAGTTAGATGACGCCCTAGGATCGCGTGTACCCTACCCCCACCCCACACCTAAACCTAACCGCGTCCTCTAACTGACGCTTTCCTTTAGCGTCAGTTAGATGACGCCGTAGGATCGCGTCAAGTAAGTGACGCTAAAGGGCGCCTAAAACGTCAAATATTGAAGCATGGTCAAAGGTGACGCCTTGGGGTGAGAATGCGTTGCAAAAAAACAATGCCATTTCAGTAAGTGTACCAGACTGGTTTCTAAACGTAAAAATATAAAGAACATGGACAAAGATGAGCTGAATTAACAATATATTGCATAAACAATTGAAACCATAAAATATATCAAACAACCCAAATTAAGATAACTTACATTTGTACACAGCCACAACATCATATGAAAAGTCCTGACCAGCAAAGACGAAAACAGGGAGTAAACTGTTAAAGCAACCCTATAAGGCCACTAATTGGGATCTGAACAGGCTGCAGGCCATCAGACTCAGCAGTGGGTGCGGCTAATGAACTGAAACATGAAAAAGACTGAACATGCCCACCAAGGTAAGGATATGAACTGCTACTTGTGAATCACCAATTTTAATGGTTGGAAGAATCATGATATCAGCAATTTCCCTCAGGACAAGTTGATTTAGCTGACCATTTCTGCTGGAGGGCTGCTCATGCTGTACTAAAGGCAGAGAATGGCTAGAATAAGCCAAAGCTAAATTGTGTGCTGAATCCAATTTTAAATGGTCTTAGGCCCAGGGATCTCCAACAGCTGCCAACTTTCATGCAATGGGTCTCATTCATGAAACATTCGTAAATATACGAGTAAATATGAGAGTGATTTGCGCGTAAAGAGACCCTCCCGAAAACTCTTCTCCTTATTCACAAATACTTCGTAAACGTCAGTTGGGATAGTGAAATGTGTGTGTGTGTATGTTAATGAATTCCAATCAGTCGTAAATGCACGTGCACGTTCATTCTCAATTACCATAAATCCTGTCCATATCCGACTGACATCTATACATACCCAGATAGCAAACTGACATTGAATCAACGTGGAAACGACGTCTCTCATGACATTGAAACAACGTTGATTTGCTCATCGAATTAACGTTGAACCAACGTCAGACGCGGCATTCTTCAAAGCTAAATGAAATCGAAAATTGGTTTGCTTTCATAACGTTGAAACAACGCGTTGATTTCAAGTTGATTTTCCGTTAGTTTTGAAAGAATGACGCATCTGACGTTGGTTCAACGTTAATTCGATGAGCAAAACAATGTCAGATCAACGTTGTTTCAATGTCATATTTCCACGTTGATTCAATGTCAGTTTGCTATCTGGGTACGCATATAATAACATGAATGCGAATGAAAAAGAAAGATTTCTCGGATGCAGAAATTGAAATTTAATTATCTAAAAGTTCATTCAAAACGCCACATTTTATTTTCAAGCGTACTAGTGGCCTATCAGGTCCTAAAAAAGGAAGCACCATTAGCCTACAGTTGCGGTTAATGGAGTTTCATCTGTTAATCGAACAGTCCCATAAGTGAGAAGAAAATGGTTCGACATTAAGCTTGACAGCAAAAAACGAATTACTTCACTTCGGAAAACTGGAGAAGGACCATAGACAGTATAAGAAATGGACAGAGCGATCTCATTGGAACTCCATTGAGACGATTGAAGCCTGTTTTTTTTTTTTTTTTTTTTTAGCACTTCCGTCCCTGACGCGCAGACTCAAACAGAGCTTGACGACGTAGATGTGACGTGAGCAACCCGTCTGTCTTCTAGTGCAGTGTTTCCCAACCCTGTTCCTGGCGGCACAACACGTGTATTCTTTGTCTCCCTTATCAAACACACCTGATTCAACCCATCAGCTCATAATCAGGTGGGTTAATGAGCTGATGGGTTGAATCGGGTGTGTTTGATTAGGGAGACAAAGAAAACACGCAGTGTTGGTGTGCCGCCAGGAACAGGGTTGGGAAACACTGTTCTAGTGGATGTGGCATGAGAAATCTGAATCATTCCCTTCCGAAACTTGCAGAGGTGGAGAGTGTGAGTAGGAGCTGTCCATGAGCTAGGAGAAGGAGACAATTCTGCTAGGTATTCTGATTAATTATTTTGTCATTTTGCCTCCACGTTTCCCCGATTGCCCGCGAGCTTCTTCTCTTTTCCATACGGTAATCTCTCTACTGTGCGACAGAGAGTCGCGTGGGTATGACACAATCGTTAGCCTACTTTCACTAAAACTGCTTCTACGGGGCCATAACATAAGCTACAAGGTAATGGAGCATTTTATACATTGTCATTGTCGTGTTTCTTTAGAAATAAATAAAGGATAAATGGGGTGTTCAAACGCCTCAGATGTAAAGTTATTCGCTGTCAAAGTGATGCCAAAATGAATGGGAGTCAATGGGAATGCTAACGCAAGTGAAGTTCTGCTACAAGATGGCAGCTCCCGTGAGGCTTCAACTTCCGGTTGATGGATTACCCCCTTGAGAAGGACCGCCATCGATCACCAGATCTGCTATTACTGGCTCTCATAATAAAAGTAAAAAAAAAAAAACGTATGTGATTACTATATAAAATATATTTTTTTCAAAATGCTGTTTAAATAGGCCTATGTACCCATTGGTGAATTAAAATGCAGCCTTATTAATGAGCAAAACGTTTGGATGTTAAGCGCACCATTTACGCGTGGCTGGGAGCAGGTGTAGATTTCTTGCGTATCAACTAACATTTGGAAAATACGAACATTTAAATGAATCTGAAAATTTACGCCAGAACCACTTTACACACGATTTACACACAATGAGCGTGAGACCCAATGAGCGTAAGACTCACGCAATTGAGCCAATTCTCACGCTCTCACGCCACACCCCTGATTTCTCACACTAAAGTGTCAAGCCAGTCGGCAAAATACCTGAAAGATAAGGTTATCTATAAATCCACCAGTTGAGCCACTCGTGATCAACTAGTTTTACCGCAACACTGCTCCTGGAGAGCTAACAGTTACTGTCCTGCAGACTTCAGTTCCAACACACATGCCTGTAATTATCAAGTAACCCTGAACAGCTAGATTTGCTGGTCCAGGTTTGTTTGATTGGGGTTGGAGCTGTAATCTGTAGCTCTCCGGGAGCAGGGTTGGAGACCCCTGGCTTAGGGAAATATGGACCTGTCTCCATGGTGACCCCTAGTGGTCAGAAGAGTGTAAATGCAACAAAAACCCGGGCCAAACATGCATAAAAAACCCTTTTATAAATCTACTGCAAATGTTTTATTGAAAGTAAAATCTTAAATGTAATTATCTAATCATTTAATGATATTATCAAGTGTATATATTTTATCAATTGTCAGGGTTTGTTTTGTTAGTTCTATGTATGGCTCAGCTAAACATGTCAATAAAACTATAGCCTACCTACCATTATTAATTTTAATTATACTAATGTCTAATTAAATAGTCTACAAATGTAATGTTTGATGATCGTGTTATTTTACATTTGCTACCAGCCTAAATATTAAATAATGTTTTATTACACATTTAACAATTGATTTTTGTTTTTAGTACAGTTCCAATTCAAAAGTAAATGATTTAATTTGGCAATTAAATGTTATAATCAAATTTGAGCGACGGCCCAGTAGGCGGGGACACCCATGACAACAAACCGGCCATTCCTCCAATCAAACACCTCGCTGCGGCTATCCCTGTGTGATGCTGACACGGTACTCGCTCATGACAGAGGATCTGTTGTCCGCACAAAATGCCTAATAACCATTCGGTTAATGGCAAACCCTCTGCTAATACGAGGAAACATAAATCGGGTGACTGCCTGGTACACACTCTGCCTTTTAAATAAGGAATTAAACCCTCAACGTCTGTTTAGACGTCACAGCACGCACTCAAAAGCAACCTGACGCGAGCGCTCCTTTCATGCAAGCTCGCGGATATTGAGGGAAAGAAAGACTGAAGGCAGAAAACTGACCGGAGCTTACAACATTGTTTGGGACGGCGAGAGGCTTGCAGAGGGGAGGTAAAGAATGCAAGGTAAGGGCCTAGATCTCTGGTGCACCTCTCATGTCAACACAAGTGCATGCATTGTGTAGGGCAGGCTATATCCTGTAGACCTTTTAATAGGCTACAGTGTTGCAGAATGTTATGTTTTTATCTGTGCTCAAGATAGGCTTATATTTAATAACGTAATAAAATTCCGTGCCGCTTTCTATCTATTAATCCACTTTGGATAAATCCAGCTTGATTTGGATTTGTAGGGTCTTTGAGTTTTTCCTGGGGTAAATATTAGATATGAACACTTTTATTAAATTAAAATATTAGGCCTAGCTGTTGTAATAGATAGTTTAGGTTATAGGGTATATGGTTTCATAAAGTAGCATATAGGCTATTTCATTCACCATAGTCAACCTGAATGTCACAACTTTGTCAAAATGAAACAGTAGCAAGACTAACGGACTGGCAGCAGCAGAAGGTGCCTAATTCTTGGAAATGAGGGTAAGAACCAAGATTTGTCAGTCACGCAAGGTAATCTATTCCTCAGATTTATCCTGGCAGCAGCTGAATCCTAAATAGAAAATGGCCTTAGTGTATCAACATGCTTGAAGTGATTTTGAGAAGAACTCTAATGCTTTGTTCATTTTTTTTATAACACAGTATTTAACCCTAATATGGAGTAATCTCATAGTAGCCTACCCCAAGTATCCATCTGGCTTGTGTCTTGGTGAAAGCTAATTAATTACGTTGTAAAAATTTAGGAATTATTTTAAAATAAAAAACAAAGAAAATTGAACACAAAAATCTTAAATATTTATTGACTTGTTAGCCATTTCCACTCCCTAATATATGGAAAAGTAGGAAAAGTCTTTTTGTATTTCACACAGAAAGCAAGTAAAGGGCACTCATTTTATAATCCCTTATTCAGTATGATTCTATCTAGTGCAACAGTGGTATATTTAATGAGTAAAATATTTAAATTAAATATAAAATTAGGTTTTTACATGTTACTGTTGTCAATAAATGTTTTATTGGCATTTCAATTCAATCTGTTAAATTTCCAATAAATAAACATGTAATATTATTAGTAACTGCACTTATTAATGCAAAACCATAGAAATTTGATTCAATTAGGCTTTCTTTGTGATTAATAATCCAACCAACACCACCAAATCAGGTGCTGGTGCCACCATCTGTAGAAGTTTGTGGCACCAGAGCTACTGCTCTCAAATGTTAGTCTGGAACCCTTGAATGTAATAATTGTAATTATTAAATAATAAAGTAATATTAAGTAATTTAAAATGAGAATTTCTTAATGCAAATTAGTTTATTACAGTCTTTGAAATCTCTGAAAATGAATGCAATCAAATGAATGTAACCAATATTTCTATTCTAGCCTTGCAGCAATGTGGTGAGGATCCCTGAGTGGTCACCATGAAAGGAGGAAATTCAAAGTGTGCTTTCTCCCTGGGCTTCTTGGTGGGCAGCACGTTGTACGTGTTTTTGAGACAGGTATGGTTTGAGGAGAGCTTCAGCTGGCAGCATGATGGCAAAAGCAACCTTTCTCCAATGGAGCCAGAGCAAAACACCCCCAACATTACCTGGAGAGTGGAAGGGTCTGCCCTGATCAACCTCAAGCATCCTCACCAGCCAGGTGCTGCAGCACCCTCTAGTGCATCATTTATGAATGAGCGCAACATGATATGAAATATTGCAACTTAAAGGGATACATTCTGTCATTATTTACTCACCCTCAAGTTGTTCCAAAAGTGTATACATTTCTTTGTTCTGCTGAACACAAAGGGAGATATTTTGAAGAAAGTTCTTAGCCAGGCAGCTACTGTAACATTGACTAAGGAAGTCAATGGTGCCCCAGAGCTGTTCAGTTTCCCACATTCTTCAAAATATTTTCCTTTGTGTTCAACAGAACAAAGGAATTTATACAGGTTTGGAACAACCTGAGGGTTTTGTTCGACCTTCATAGAAGGGGTCCCTGTGATTATGTAGATATACATGTCTCATTCTAAGGTAATAAAAACATTACGGTTTATTAAGTAAGTTCTTTAGACACCACTGAAATCATAGTTATGGATGTCATATTGCATTTCTGTTGCTAGATACTAAATTTTTACACATTTAATCTCCTTTAATCTCATTATGTCTGCCCCCATGTTAAATGAAATTGGTTTAAACAGTTTTCTGATTAGTTAGGGTGCATAATATTTAACAAATTTATTAAAAGGACTATTCTTTTATATATGTGTACGACATAAGTAGGGGAGAATTATAGAGTACGCCTTTTAATATACAACTCTCAGTTTAGTTATAAAGACGTCTCTAATGAACAAAATGATTTGTATTAAGTTGCAACATAACTATAGAATCTGCTTTAAATACACAGGAGAGGACAGTCACATTGCAGACGAGCTGTTCAAGAAAGTGCGTATCCTGTGCTGGGTGATGACAGGGCCGAGTAATCTACAGTCAAAGGCTCGGCATGTGAAGGCCACTTGGAGTCGTCACTGTAACGTAGTTCTGTTCATGAGCTCTGAAGAAGATCGCAGCTTCCCCACAGTGGGCCTGGGCACAGGAGAAGGCCGTGACCAGCTGTACTGGAAGACTATACGTGCCTTCCACTACGCCCTGAAGAACCACGTCGATGAGGCAGACTGGTTCCTCAAAGCAGACGATGACACGTTCGTCGTTGTGGACAACTTGCGCTGGATCCTGTCAAACTACACGGCAGAGCAGCCCATATACTTCGGCAAGAGGTTCAAGCCGTACGCTAAGCAGGGCTACATGAGCGGTGGGGCAGGTTATGTTCTCAGCAAAGAGGCCTTGAAAAGGTTTGTCGAGGGTTTTAACACTAAAGTGTGCACTCATACAACACCAGTGGAGGATCTAGCGATGGGTCAGTGCCTGGAGAAAATGGGGGTGGTAGCAGGAGACTCCAGGGACACGCTGCACCGGGAAACCTTCCATCCTTTCATTCCTGAACACCATCTTACTGGAAAGTTCTCCAAGACCTTCTGGTACTGGAATTACTGCTTCTACCCAATTGTAGAAGTAAGTCACACACACTTAAAACAATTTTTGGTAACACTTTACAATAAGGTTAATTAGTTAACATTACTTAACTACATTAGTTAGCATGAACTAATAATGAACAGCACTTATACAGCATTTATTAATCTTTGTAAACGTTAATTTCAATATTTACTAATACTTTATTAAAATCTTGTTAACATTAGTTGATGCGCTGAACTAACATGAACAAATAATGAACAGCTTTATTTTTATTAAATAACATCAACAAAGTTTAACAAATACTGTAACAAATGTATTGCGCATGGTTAGTTCATGTTAGTTAATACATTAACTAATGTTAATTAATGAACCTTATTGTAAAGTGTTACCCAATTTTTAAACACTTATACTAGCGTTCAAACATTTGCGGTCGGTAATATTTTTTAAAAAACATTTTTGAAGTACCGTAAGTCTATTATGCTCACCAAGCTGCATTTGGTTGGTTAAAACAGGTGAAACAAATGTTATTACAATTCAAAATAGATGATTTCATCTATTTCTGTAATGCAAAGCTGAATTTTCAGCATCATTACTCCAGCCTTCAGTGTCACATGATCCTTGAGAAATCATTCTAGTATGCTGATTAGGTACTGATTAGGTAGTTTAGTTGAACCAGTTTACGGTGCTACTGAACCTCTAGTCCAATTAAGGGACGTACTCTGCTGGGGTGATGCTACACCAGTAATGCCCAGCGGGGCCCCCACTGTCTGCTGCTGTTACCCTTAACGATGCTCTCAGCGACTTCTTATACTCTCAACAGTATAATTAACTTACTCCTTCACTCGCCTCATCGGAGTGAAGACTATCCTGCACTCCTTCAAAATCTCTTCCAGTCAGAACAGTATTAAAGCAGTACAGTAAAAATAGTCGGATGAACAGTGGCACAGTCTATTTCAGAATTTGTCTTCTGCATTTAACCCATCCATTTTAGTGCACCTACTTTAGGAGTAGTGAATACATAATACAAACTGTGGAAACACGCATGAATGTCCTTCTTGACATTTCTCTACATTCCACAGCTTCCATTTCGCTCAGCAAGCTAATTAGTTATAACTTTGTTTTTTCCAGAAGTTAAACTTATTTTTTTGAAAAGCTTTTAGAACTTGAGTACCATCTGTGCCTGAGAGAAGACAACACTTTAAGTGTCAAAAGGAATTTTCCATTCAATATGTAATATTTTGAGAATGAATAAAAATCAACAACATTGTTTGTGAACAAAGTATACAGTGAAAATGAAATAAAGCCCCATTTAAATGCCACACTGAACTAGCAAGTCCTTCAGGTGATTGCAAGTGAAATCAACAATGGATAGGTTTGATGGGGACCGTGTTTGTCGATAGCTTGTCTTTCATGCACATGATGATGTGATTCGTGACTAGACAGCTTGTGACTACGAATAAAAAAAAAACTAAAACATAAACACAATTTTGTCTTGCCATGGTTTTCAAAATGGAAACAAAATTTAAAAATAGAATGATTAAGTGGATTTGTGTAACTTCTTAAATTATAATAATAAATGACTTAAAACATTTTTCTTTAATCTCTAAAAATCAAGGTTATAGTGAAACTCTTATAATGAAAGCAAAAAGGATTTCAGTAATCTGAAGCTTATTTTTTTTAAAGCACTGTATTTTTGGAGCTGTAAAGTTGTTGTTTTAAGGTTCTTGCAACTAAATGGTATACTTAAACTTAACAACAACAAAAAATAGCAAGTATTAACACATCGTTTATATATTATAGCTGTATTTTAATGTTTACAGATTTGCCCCATTCACTTCTATTGAAAGTGCTGGGGAAAGTCTAAATTAATTTTATTTAAAGTTATGATACAAGTGCTGACGATTAAGCTTAACTTGTAATGAACCCAGAATATTCCTTTAATGCAACCTATCTGTGACCATGTGGAAATATGACAGCATCTCTTATGTCTGTTTTCTCCCTGCAGGGCCCACAGTGCTGCTCTGACCTAGCAGTGTCTTTTCACTACGTAGACCCTGAGCTAATGTACACGCTGGAGTACTACACTTACCGTCTGAGGCCCTATGGCTACCAACACCGCTACCAGCCTCCAGTGCCTGCTGTACTATCGTTGGCTTCCCACACTGTGAAACCCACAACAGAAGCTCAGGGATTTGATGAACATTTTAAAGAAAAGTTAGTTTCAACTTATACCATGAATCCCAAAGCTGAGAACACAAAGACTACTGAAACAAGAATTCACAAAGTCACAAATGCTTTCCAGGGGAAAAACATAACGGACAGAAGCACAACATGATTGTGAATATGCAGAAAATGTTGCATGATGTAAATCTAAAATTAAATCACTGACTAATTGGAAAAGTGATGATCTGGGCTAATAACCAAATCTGTAGGTTCAAACCTCAGCAAAGAACACTTTTTTTGCCCTCTTAGTAATTTGCCCAGTTACCCATTAGTCACTTTGGACAAGTGTTTGCTACTTAGGCTACTATATGCTCAATGAATTTGTTGATAATCCCTTGCTTTGTGATTGCATTGTATTGCTGCTTCTGGTCTGAGTGCAGTAAAAATGTCTGCTTTACAAGCCATATTTCATCAATGACATAGGCAGATTAACCATGGGCAAGTGGGCAAGTGGCCTGGGGCACCATGTCAAGGGGAGCACCACGCAAATATTTCTTTTCTAGCCTTTATATACCCTTAAATCAGAACGCTCTAAATTCACACATTGTTTAATACTTTTTTGTGTGTGTGAAAATGTAAACTAGTGGAAAGGCACCATACAGATAATGTGAGTGTGCTGTGCAGTTTCGCATTTTTTTTTTTTTTTTTGCAGTATGCAGTTGGCAATGAGAAAGCATCAGTGTTTTGCAAATGTAGCAAATTATTGCTGTTTAAACTTTTGCTTGGTTGAAGTCGCTACATTTTATGCGTTATTGAACGTTTAAGTAATAAAACATTGTCAGATCAGATAGGTAGTATTTTTATTTACAAAAATCATGTTTTATACATTAAACAGCAAAAATAACAATAAAATAAATTGAAAGGCATGGGATGTAAGTGGAGAATTAAATTTGAGAATTTATAATGATAAATGTATTATTTGCAGTACACTGAAACAAATCACACCATAGGAAATCATGTTTATTTTATTCATTTTATATAAATAATTTATTTTGCTCTATCACTTTTGTAAAATAAATTGTTTTGCTCCAAAGAAATGTCTTGAAAAGAAGCTGTCATGACATGGTGGTACAGACGATTAACTGGATATGAAATAATCCATTTGCCTATAACCCACGACGAAACCTGCAACAAATTGAAAAAAATATATAGGCATATATATATATATATATATATATACATATACATATATATAAGAGACGATTTATATTTACAAGAAAAGGCATAACAGTCATGCTACAAGAACAAATGCTGTGGTGTTAGGAAGATACATGTTGTAATATCTTCCGAAAGCCTGCAGGTGGCAGAGCAGCCTCACTGAATTAACGTTACTCGCCTCAGTTTGCATTTGTTGAAGAAGATGCCTCCTCCGCTTGTTTCTGGATAGTCTTTCCTCAACGGACGCCCAGTTTCTGTCAACACAAATACAGTAAGTCTGGGAGGCTTGATGGACTGATGAATTTCTGACAGCGTTACCGATAATATTTGGCTACTTCGTCATATGTCGGAGGTTTAACCCACGCGGTACAATAAACACAAAACTATTGGATTCATCAGAATCCGATTAAAATCGTCCTTATGATCAATTAGTTCGAACAATATCCTCATAAAAGTCCTTTGTTCATTAACCAATTCACAGTTCTCGCGGTGTATGTTTTTGATTCCTCAAAAGAACCTGCTCATAAGAGTCGTTTGTGATTCGAACTGCTGCTCGCGCTGAATATTAATTTATTCCGTGCATCCCGCGAGGACAACTCAGTAACGTTAACGTTAGATTTCGTATGAGCAACCTATTAGTTACTGATTTAAGTTGCACCAGCCTTTAATTCTTAAAGTAGGCCTAATATCAAGGTGACAGTCAGATAAAGTCAGTAGCATAATTAACTAACTTTGTCGTATAAAGTGGGTGGGACAGTGTGTGTGTGTGTGACTTCTATGTTTTTCTTTCACAACACAATATCAATATGATTAGTCCCGACTAGAGATTATTCACGTCGGTGAATACGTATCAGAAGTTTTGGGCTACTAACCGGTCATGAGCATGGACACGTTAGACTGCCTTTTGTTTTGTGATTTGACTGGAACGAATGAGTCTCTCTGGAACGGCGCATAGATTGCAGCGCTCCTCCGTGTGAATACTGTGCACGAGCACCAACAGAACACTGTTGTGTTTCGCCACTAATAACAGCGGCAACGCGCACTCAGCATGATTTCAATGACAACTATTTAACAAACGAATGAAATTGATACTCTAACTGGAGATGGTTCGTTTGTGTGTACCGCCAGATGTGTCAAAAAGTGTTGGGGACATGTCCCACACGCAAATTACGCCCGTCTAAAGCTGTTTATCACAAACATCAGTGAATTGAAGAGAAAGGCTGTTAACTTACCAGGGTCAGCGCTTCGTCTACCCATGAGTCCAACAAAGATATCGTGCATTTCCCCTGAAAGACAACATATATTAAGTTTTCTTCAATTATTTTTAAACTAGCCTGTTCTGAAAGCACAAAAGGAAGACCAAAATGTCTTACTTTTACGTTGGGGTGGGAAATCATCCGTGTCTGGAAAATAATAAGATTCGTATGAACATTAGCACGTCTCACAGAATAATAAAATAAACAGAAACTGCTGGAATAATAGGCTACAACAAAAAATATCTGTTAACTCACCGGCGTTTCTGCGACCCATTAATCCGACGAAACTGTCATAATCAATGTCATTATACCTCTTCAGCAAGTTATGAGCCGACAGCCGCAAACTTGGAATCTCCTGTGCATAAAATTACATTTTTATTTTAAAACTCGGCTAAACTATATAGTTATTAGATCATCGTTATCTGCCACTTACGTTTGAATCTGATCTTTGAGATTCTGACTGCTGACAGCTCGATTCACTCCATCGGGTTTCCAGCACCAAAACCAAGAACAGTAACACTAGTCCACGGTACATCTTAACAGATCAGTCTGAGGAGAAAATATTACAAGAAGCTACGTTTCATAGCGTCCTTTTCTTTGTTAAACTTAGTAACTTTTACATCAAAAATTAAAACACAAAGTTTCCCTTTTCCAATTCCAATTTGTTTAATCTCTTAATATACAGTAGCCTATAATTTACCAATAAAACCATCAGGAGTGAAAAGCTTTGTTAAATACATTTTTAACAAATAATGATAAAAATAACCTTAATGCAATACAATGTAAAATTGTAGTTTAGTATAGTTAACATAAAGAACATTTTACATGTATTGTACTTACCCGAGCTGAGGAAAATGGTCTGTGGAAACAGCTGAGTACAGTTTCTGGTCAAGGAGTTAAATCCTTTTGTGATTGACTATCAGACAAGAGACACAGAGACCGGGATTCTCTCCTGTCTGATTATTAAATGATAGCAACATGTACGTAAGTCCAATCAGATGTCGCAGTGTAGGTGTGGTTTAAGGGTTTGTAGTCTGCATCAGCAATGACCATGCAATTGAGATCCTGACATCAGAGGTGTGAGACATTCCTTAAAAGGACAAACCATTGCCCCTTTTGTCAAAGCCCTATCATCAATTACTCAGATTTGAATTCTTGCGATTTTAATCTCATATCTGTAACTTTGCCAGGTTTTTTTCCCGTTCAAGGTTACTGAGTACCATCCTTGAAGGCAACCGCGTCTCCCCGCATGTACGGGCCATACTCAAGCGTTTGCGTGAGAGCACATCTAAATGTCATGTTTGTTGACTCATTAAGATTATGCTGATATCTATCCAAATGCTACTTTTCTCTGCTAAGTAGGGCCTTATTGTTGTATTTTCCTCCTGACTGCCTAATTGGTGTTGTCACTGGCGGGAATGTAATCTCTCAAGGAAGCAATTACACAGATGGAGCGGTGGATGATGAGAACGGTGTCTCACGGACTCAGTGGACATCTTGAGGGGGCAACTAACTGGCCTGGCGACACACAGGGTTGATTAGTGGGAACATCCATTAGTTGCTGCCCACACTCAGTATGCAGCATGCAAAGGGCAGCTGTACTTTGAAGTTCCTTGTGGAGAACTGATTTGATCAGTTCATCAACAGAAGCCAATGATAGCAACAGCTCAGACATCCAGCGCTAACCCAATTCCACATCAACATAATAAATCCTATGAGACTCTGACACAATCGTCAACTCTGACGCTATCTAAACGAAAACTTTGGCATGTTGACCTTTTTGAGTGCGTACAATTCCAATTTAATATATATATATGTGTGTGTGTGTGTGTGTGTGTATAAAATAAATAATGTGTGTGTCCAATTAGAATATTCTACCTATATTTTCCTTTGGTTAGGTGGATTTACTTATAGGGCATGTTTTTTAGTGAGTGAATGTCAGCTGCTCAACAGTTTGTCCTGTAACTCAAACAATGCATTGCTTTAGAAACGCCAAGGTAATGGGTTCAATTCTAAGGGAATGCATAAATTGAGCATAAATGTATAGCTTGAATCATGCAATGTAATTTGCTTTAGATAAATGCATAAATATAATCTAAAAATGTAGTGCATAATTACTGCCTTGAGAATGAGATTTAAAGACTATATTCTTTAACTATTCATTTTGTGCTTTGTCTTTAGACTATGTCTGAGGACGGTTAGCCTTCATTATGCAACAGGTGTTTTTATCCAAATCGACTTACAAGAGAGGAACAAAAGCAATTTGTCAATGAGCCAACAGTATTCATAATAAACAATGCCAGTTTATTTAACCACTAGATTAGGAAGCACACTAAAGAAATTTAACTTGATTTGAGATGCAGGAGAAATGCAGAGAAGGAAAGGTTTGTATGTGTGTGTGTGTGTAAGTGCATTGGTTTAAAGGGAGTGATTGGAAGCTCATGAGACATGAGTGTTGATAGGGGAGAGTAAATTTCTGAATGCAAATTACTTTACAAATAGTGGGATATTATAAATGATAGTCAAGAATGTTGACTGGGAGTCCTACAAATAAAACAGTGAAGACTTTATGGAAAAAATATTTTGGGAATAATGTTCTAAATATAAATAAGGTTTACTGTCCATGTAATGTTTACTGAGCCCGATCAATAAAGGATTTTGAAGGCCGATATATAGCGATACAAATATTTGTTGGTTTTAAAATCCGATATTCCGATATATCGGCCGATATTTTTTATTCTTATTTTTTTTATTTCAGAAACGCACAACAAAACATTAACAGATTTCCATAACATTAGTTATTTTTAGTTATTTATGAGTTTTAACTAAAATAATATGATAATGCATTTTAAAAAGAAAATGTTTCTTTTTTTATTGTCTCCACAGAACAGACTTATGATAATGGCATTAGCTAGCTTTGTGGTTAGCTAGTCTATGATGAGCCATAATTTAGCAATGGATAAAGTCATACTGCAAATTGTAAAACATACATTTTCAATATAACAGGCCAAGGAGAGATGATACGTCTCATTGCTATAACTGGCACGCTCTATTAAAGAAATACCTCAGTCACATTGTCAAAAGTTAAAAGGACAGTCAGTCAACTACACTGTAACAACGTAATGTGACTACTAGCTAATTCCGCTTTACTCTCTGCTTATTTAACAGCAGCAAAACTGGACATGATAGTAACAAATTTTGTCATGCTTATTTGAGTTAAGAGAACTGTCCACTACTGTCCACATTTTTATATTCCACATTCTGCTTGAAACTCATAAAGCATTTCAACAAACAATGGATCCAGTACTCTTCCCACAGCAGGCCAGTTATTTCTCACTGCAAGGGATGTTGGTGAATACGCTGTTCCTCTACTAAGCAAACCATGTGTGTTTCATAATGCTTTTGATGCAGATGTTTGGACTTAATTGCTGGCTGTGTTAAACCACAGGAGACAGTCACTGCCATACTGACCGAACTATGACTTGCGGGGCCATGTCGTCTGAAACAAAGGGCAGGTCGGAGTTCCAAATGGCTGGTTTTCCCAAAGGTTAGCGGATTAGCATTCTGATGTTTTAGTAATTGAGTCCCAACCCATATATGTCTCTTCCTGCTCTGCATGGATCTCGCAGCGGGTCAGATTAAGGATATGGGGATGGATGGGAGACAGATCTAACAGCAGTAGGGGAAGAAAAAGTAATTAGTTGCATTCTTCCATAATTAATGACTTTTTCTTTCCCTTAATCACAGAGCCACATCCTGGGAGTATCAATGAGAACACCATAGGACTGTTTATTTTCATGCTAGGGTGGAGGGCTTCTGCCGCTGAGAGGATGACGACAGGAAGAGGACGCCTTAGTGGTAAACTCGTGACAATGTTGCTATCAGCATTTGATATCATTCAGTGCACTCAAAACGTGAGGGGAGCCATATACTGCTGCCAAGCAAGAGTTTACTGCAATTATCTTTGGTTGTCATCTAAAGTATATGTTTACCGAAGGATGTGCACGAGAAAATGTGAATCAGTGCGGACAAAATCAGTCCTGATGTTCACGTTTCTGTTGATTTCCTGTGAGATAGACCTGCTTTTTTTTGCTTAATGTGAAATGAAGCAGTTGCATTTTGTGGCAGCTGGTGTTTGAAAATTATCTTATCTGTACCTGCTAATGTCATGAGCCCTTCACACGTTTTGTACACCGAGTCATAGTAATGGCTCACAGTGAGTTAAGTTTGCATTACTAAGAATTCAGGTGACTACAAGAGTATATTCTCTATTCTGCACTTAGAAACATCTTTCTCAGGGTCACACTCTTTTCAAAAGGTTTTGGTTTTTCTGTTTGGTCACTGTCAAGGGTTTTGCACAACTTCCAGACACTTTCTTGTGCAATTGTCTCCATGACGTTGTGTTTGTTCGTGCTTGGAGAAGGAAGTAAATGAGATTTGACACATGATGGAATAATGACTGACAAGCCATTTTTACTGGTCGCAGCCATGCTCAAGAACAGCAGGGTGTTGGCAATGGCTTTGTGCAGACTGGGGACAAATACAGCTAGTAAGATCCATAGGATGTCAAGTTGAGACCAGAAGGGTGACTGATCACTATTGTGCAAATATGATTTGAAGATTTGAAGTCATTCAATTTTTATGCTGTAGTTCATGTAATATGGATCAGATTTATGATTGCTGACAAATTGCACACTATGGCAAAATCTCAGCCTTTGTGTACAAATGACCTCACTGGGGGTATCTAGAGCCGGAGTTTTTGGACCTGGAGTCTACGGACCCCCAAGGGAGGTACATTTGATATTACTGTTTCACTTATGTGAAGAATAAATATTTTCCAGATAATATTTAAATATTTAACAATTTGTGCATTATAAAAGCCAATGAATTAATCAGGGGGAAAATATAAAATATTATCTTTTACAGTATAAATGGATTTTTATGCATAAACCTGCTTTTATATTCTATGAGGGTCCCTCATATTTCATAATTATATTTGTCATATTTATGGGTCCTTGGCATGAAAATGTTTGACCTGTAAACATCCCCTTATTCTTCTTCGATCCCCTCCCTGTCTGAACAGGGTCTGCAGCATGTGATGAAGCATACCTGAAGTTATTGCCACCACACCAACTGCTGTTAAATGCCAAGCATGACTCTTTTTCTCTTTCCCTGTGTACGCACAGTGGTGTCCTTGGAGTGGAGTCTCAAAAGGAATTTAAGCAATTTAAACCTTGTTTGTAGTTGTTCCATATTGAAAAAATCAGCATTGCTGGTTATCAGCATAAGTTATGATTTGCATGCTAATAGCAGCAACAGATGCTGGTTTGCTGGTCCTCAGCATGGGAAGCAGGAGTGCTCGTGGACCAGCCACACTTGCTCAGTTTTGCTTGAGAACAGCATGACTATGCTGTGGGTCCACTATACACACTCTAAAAACAAATCGTGCTAAATAGCACTAAAAGTGGTTAATTGGCTTGTAATCATAGGGGAACCACTTTAAGTGCCATCTTTGTCATATGGTGCTATGGAACCATAAGAGGTGCCATAGAGCGTGTTAACCACAGAGAACCACAGAGGAACCGCTGAAGAACCAAACTGGGCTTAACAGGTTCTTTAAATGGTAGTGGTGCTATATAACACCATGACAACCGCAAAAAACCCCTGAAGAACCTTTTTTTTTTAGAGTGTAGACCAGCATAAACCAGCCTGGACCTACAGTACATGGAATTCATGCTGGATTTTTCAGCAGGCTTGCTGTACATTGTGAAATAAAATGCTGTTGAATCTGCACTGCAGCTAAATCTGTTAAGACCATTTGACATAAATGGTCTGAATCAAGTGCAGTCTCCATAAATTAAGACTGTTGTGAATAAACCAACATTTATGACCTCCACGTATATGTACAGGTCATGTCTATAATGTAGCAAATTACGTAGGCTGCAGGCTGTTCCTTGCGTCTGCTGTGTTG